GGCACTCGGATGGTAATCTTGGGCATAGCATTTTATCAAATCACCTCATTCTTTGGGGCACACGTGAGGAACACAAATGCAAACAAGCCTGAATGGTCCCCAGGACTATATACAACTGAAAACTCACACCCCAGAAGTGACTCGAACCCATACTCCCACAACTGGTATGTACAGGGACGCCTTAATCCGCTTGACCATCACGACCGGACATAAGGAAGTGATAGCCGAGGCTATATGAACCACTTCCCCGCCGGCACTCGGATGGTAATCTTGGGCATAGCATTTTATCAAATCAAAGCATAGCATTTTATCAACCTTATGTCCGGTCGTGATGGTCAAGCGGATTAAGGCGTCCCTGTACATACCAGTTGTGGGAGTATGGGTTCGAGTCACTTCTGGGGTGTGAGTTTTCAGTTGTATATAGTCCTGGGGACCATTCAGGCTTGTTTGCATTTGTGTTCCTCACGTGTGCCCCAAAGAATGAGGTGATTTGATAAAATGCTATGCCCAAGATTACCATCCGAGTGCCGGCGGGGAAGTGGTTCATATAGCCTCGGCTATCACTTCCTTATGTCCGGTCGTGATGGTCAAGCGGATTAAGGCGTCCCTGTACATACCAGTTGTGGGAGTATGGGTTCGAGTCACTTCTGGGGTGTGAGTTTTCAGTTGTATATAGTCCTGGGGACCATTCAGGCTTGTTTGCATTTGTGTTCCTCACGTGTGCCCAAAGAATGAGGTGATTTGATAAAATGCTATGCCCAAGATTACCATCCGAGTGCCGGCGGGGAAGTGGTTCATATAGCCTCGGCTATCACTTCCTTATGTCCGGTCGTGATGGTCAAGCGGATTAAGGCGTCCCTGTACATACCAGTTGTGGGAGTATGGGTTCGAGTCACTTCTGGGGTGTGAGTTTTCAGTTGTATATAGTCCTGGGGACCATTCAGGCTTGTTTGCATTTGTGTTCCTCACGTGTGCCCCAAAGAATGAGGTGATTTGATAAAATGCTATGCCCAAGATTACCATCCGAGTGCCGGCGGGGAAGTGGTTCATATAGCCTCGGCTATCACTTCCTTATGTCCGGTCGTGATGGTCAAGCGGATTAAGGCGTCCCTGTACATACCAGTTGTGGGAGTATGGGTTCGAGTCACTTCTGGGGTGTGAGTTTTCAGTTGTATATAGTCCTGGGGACCATTCAGGCTTGTTTGCATTTGTGTTCCTCACGTGTGCCCCAAAGAATGAGGTGATTTGATAAAATGCTATGCCCAAGATTACCATCCGAGTGCCGGCGGGGAAGTGGTTCATATAGCCTCGGCTATCACTTCCTTATGTCCGGTCGTGATGGTCAAGCGGATTAAGGCGTCCCTGTACATACCAGTTGTGGGAGTATGGGTTCGAGTCACTTCTGGGGTGTGAGTTTTCAGTTGTATATAGTCCTGGGGACCATTCAGGCTTGTTTGCATTTGTGTTCCTCACGTGTGCCCCAAAGAATGAGGTGATTTGATAAAATGCTATGCCCAAGATTACCATCCGAGTGCCGGCGGGGAAGTGGTTCATATAGCCTCGGCTATCACTTCCTTATGTCCGGTCGTGATGGTCAAGCGGATTAAGGCGTCCCTGTACATACCAGTTGTGGGAGTATGGGTTCGAGTCACTTCTGGGGTGTGAGTTTTCAGTTGTATATAGTCCTGGGGACCATTCAGGCTTGTTTGCATAATATATATATATATATATATATATTCACCTTAGGATGTAGACTCACAACAAGTTGGCTAACCCACGGGCACCTATTTACTGCTAGATGAACAGAGGCATTTGGTGATAGGAAAAGTGCCCAATCATCTCTGTCCCGCCAGGTATTTCCGATTGTGAATCGAGAACAAAGGCAACTTCACTACCAAGATCCACTACACTAGCTACGTGACAAATCTATAACGCCGAACTCACAGCTAACTGTACACTCTCCTTCAGAAGGTCCACCCTCCTTCAGAAGGCTCTGAAAGGCGAGACTCTGTGACACTCCAGCAGTTACGACGGTCCTGGAAGACCTCCCTCGGGTTAAGGTAAGCATAAAGAGATGCAAAGGGGCCTTTTATTTTGCCTAAGACTGGCCTTTGCTCGGGCAACCCCCGTTGGTGTCAATAATACGTTGCATGGTTGCATTTGGGGCTGTCACCTTCAGACTCGAGCGTGCACTTGAGACAAATGGCCAGTTTTCTCATCCGACACATCCAAGTTGGGGTACGGGCAGGTTGGATGCAGTTGTCCACATGTCCAGCACCACGGATTTGCCAGACGGAATAATCACTTTCCTTGCATTGATGTCAAACGTTTTTCTGTTTATTCCTTGGGATTACTTACGGTATTTTGTTTTGTTTTCATGTCGCAGCTAGTCCTTGACACCCGACCCACCAATATGAAAATGTAAAATTGAAAAATGTTATATCCGTCCTGGACCGAAAAGTGCAATGAGTCACAATAACGTGGCTGAAGTATGTTGACCAATCCACACACTAGAACATGAAGGGACGACGACGTTTCGGTCCGTCCTGGACCATTCTCAAGTTGATTCTCATAATCGACTTGAGAATGGTCCAGGACGGACCGAAACGTCGTTGTCACTTCTTCATTTTCAGATTTGTGGATTGGGTTTGCGCTAGAAAGATTAGACAACATTCCCACTACTCACACGGCGTTTAAAGCAAGGGAAGAGAATGAATGAAGGAATAGTACCGCAAGGTTCCATTTTGGGCCAACCCTTTTTGTCAACGACATAGATAAGAATATTACAAACCACATCATCAAATTTGCTAATGACACTAAGATCCATTGTAAAGTAGGAAGTGAAAATGAGGCTTTACGCAGAGACATCTACATGAAGTTGACAAATGGTTGGAAGACTGGCAAATGCTTTTTAATATTGAAAGTGCAAGACCTTACATGCGGGTCATAACAATGCACGTCACACATACAAAATTAACAATATTACCTTGCAACAGATTGATGAAGAAAAGGACCTTGGAGTCAGAATCCACCGATCACAGAAAATTTCACAGCAGTGGAAGCAGCAGTAAAAAAAAATAAAAGTAAAATAAAAAAAATAGGAATAGTCAAACGAGTCTTAGGCGTCAAGGAAAATAAGGTACAATAGTTGTCTAACTGTATAATTCTCTGGTGCATCCCCACTTGAATTATTGTAACCAAGCATGGAGACCTCGGGCCAGATTCATGACAGCACTTACGAACCTGTACATCTTTTCTCAATCTTTGGCGACTTTGTTTTTAATTATTAAACAGCTAATGAGCTCCGAAGCACCAGGAGGCTGTTTATAACAATAACAACAGTTGACTGGCAAGTTTTCATGCTTGTAAACTGTTTAATAAATGTAACCAAAGCCGTCAAAGATTGAGGAAAGATGTACACGTTCGTAAGTGCTTGGGTAAGTGCTTTCGTGAATCTGGCCCCACGTCTTCAGAAAGACATATCTGTTTTGGAGAACGTTCAACACTCTGCAACCAAAATCATCCCAGAGCTAAGGTGTCTCATACTAGGAACGGTTGACGTCCACAGGGCTGACAACATTGCAAACCAAACATGACAGAGCTGATCTCATCGAAAGTTTTACAATACTGAACAGTTTGGAGGATACTGATCCAGACTACTTCTTGAAGGGGTCAGATGTAACACGGACAACGAGCAACGATTTCTAACTCAACAAACCACTGTAGGACAACAAGCAGGCTTTTTTTCACCAATAGAGGAATAAACCCACGGAACAACTTACCCGCCGAAGCCGTAAATTATTACTGCGGTTTAGAATCCAGCTGGAAAAATTCGTCAGAAAATAATAGTGGGACTTTTCACAAGCCGCCGGCTACCTGTCCCCGTCGAAGCAATTTGTGAGATGATAGCCTTCAGGTAAATTAATGTACATTTTTAAGAAAGGCAGAAAAAGCTCAGCTTAAAAACAACTAACCAATCATCCTAACCTCACTAGCTGCAAGTTCATGGAGAGAATCCTAAGGGCAAGAATTATTCACCATCCTACAGTGCACAATTTTGTAAAATCAACACAACACATTTTTTTGCTTAAATACATTTTTTCATTTGTTTTCCACACCCTTGGAAACGGTAACCAGCTATTCAAACAAAATATTTCCAATAGACGTAATATACATCGAAATCTCTAAAGCTTTTGATGAGGTAACACATGAAATTACAGGTATTGTACATATAATAAATGGTGAAATACTAGAATGGATAAAACAATGGTTAAAACAAGGCCACCAAAGAGTTGTCCTAAACGGAAATGAATGTGACCTGAGAAATGTGGTGATTGGGGTACATGAGTATCCAGGATATGATGTAATACATAATTGAGTAGGAGGGGTCTAAAATGCGTACCAGGTTCTGTCATGAGCATCTGTAGGCCCTGTCACGACCACCTGCAGGGTGTGTCATGAGCGCCAGGGACTCCCATGAGCACCAGCAGCCGTCTGTCATGAGCATTAGAAGGGCTTGGCATGAGCATTAGGAAACCCTGACATGAGCATTACAAGGACCTGGCATGAGCACCAAAATGTGTCATGCACGACAGAATCTGTCATGAACGCCAGGAATTATCATTAATATCAAGGTCTGTCATGAGCATTACAAGGACCTTACATGAGCACCAAAATGTGTCATGAACGACCGGATCTGTCACGAACGCCAGGAATTATCATTAATACCAAGGTCTGTCTTGAGCAGCAGAACCTGACATAAGTGCCAGAGGCCAAATACATGACACAATCCGTTTTGTAATTCCGTAGACGTCTGGATCCACTCACATCAAAGGCGCATTTGACCATCCCTTCTCGCCCAATTAAGCACTGCCGACACTACTCCATTTACTAACAAATCACACACCAAAAAAACCTGAACTTGCAATAAAAGAGTAATCGAAACATTAAAAAGTATAGAGGGTGGGGTTTTAATAGTTAAAATGTAAAATAATAGGCTTTGGTCGGAGTTCTTGTTCGAGCGAAGTGTTTGGGAAGCTCTGTTGTGTACTGTGATTATCGCGTATTTTTAGGTCATCTTTCAGTTTGGGTGCTTCCTGCGGCCTTCGTCACCTCCAACACCTACTATGAACAGTGAAACATGTTCAAGAAGAACGCCACATCGTCGGATGTAAAGAAGAGTCTTAGCAAATGTCTGGATACTAAGCGAGATACGCCCACCCGTCTTAAACATCTGCGGACTGTCTTGGGTGAGGGGGGAAATATGTGTTTATTTTCATTATCCTCTCTCTCACCTCAAGGGTCTCGTGTGAATACGTCGCTATGGTCACTATTCTCTCTTACCTTAAGGGTCTCGTGTTGTGGGAGGGTGAATATGTCACAATTTTCACTATTCTTTCTCGTCTCAAGGGTTCCCGTGTTGTGGTGGGTTAATACATTACTATTTTCACTATCCTCTTTCACCTTAAAGGTCTCGTGTTGTGGGAGGGTGAATATGTCACTGTTTTCACAATCGTCTCTCACCCCAATGGTCTTGTCTTGAGGGAGGGTTAATACATCACTATTTCACAATCTTTTCTTACTCTTAGGGTTTTATGTTAGGAGAGGGTTAATATGTCACTATTTTCACAATCGTCCCTCACCCCAAGGGTCTCGTCTTGGGGGAAGGAACAGTGCATATTGTCTTAAGTAGAACAAATGTGAAATTTCTATAACGGGTGATGTCAAAATTTGGCCTAACTTATGAAATCTTGACTAATACTAATGATTTCTTAGAGCAAAGGTCTCCAGCTCAATAACTCCATTAATAGGCCAGTTTCAATGCAGCTACCAGTTTCCAGACTGTCACCAGTTGGCAAATATTAGTGCCAAAAAATCCAGTGCCTAGAATGAAACTACAAAAATTACAGAAATTCTCTCAAATATGCTAAAAAATACACAATATGGAAATATGAAAAATATCTATTATAAACCTATTAGAACAAATATTACTATATAATGATAATTTTTCCATGATTCAGTGCATGATCTCAAGAAAATGATAGTTACTTTTCTAGGGAAAGCCTAGAAAAGCCTATATGCCTGGAGACCGTTCAGGCTTGTTCTCATTTGTGTTCCTCACGTGTGCCCCAAAGAATGAGGTGATTTGATAAAATACCTCTCTCTCCAAAGTTACTATTACTGACAGTGTACCAACTGCTAGGTAACATTAGGTGTGGAGTTGTATAGGCCTAGTGGGGACCAATGCCAGAATCTGGCTTCCTCACAGAGGCACAGAGAGCAGTAGCATTTATTTATATTCCACCACTGGGAAAGCAACCAGAAAGCTAGCGAGACGAAACAGGCGAGTGCAGAATTGGTGGGGATATTCGTAGGACCACCGAACCTGCAGGGGATTTCCAGGGCCCGAAGGAACTGACCTAACAGTATTTCTCCCCTACTGGTTTGTTATTCTGGTGGCTATTTATTCTGGTTTGTTTTGGGTGGATGTCTATAATTGCTAGAATGCATTTAAAAGGATTTTAATTTTTTTGGCTTACTAAACTGCATATTTATTTATGCCACAGTATGGAACAGTGTTAAAATTCTAATTGGTTGATCTTTTATCAAGATACTGATATACAGTATATATATCTGTTTCTCTGATTAAATACTTAAAATCTGTTATAGAATTCCTATACAGTGTATCTTAATGAAATCTTTTGCATTTCAAGAAAAAATTGAATATTTTGTCTAATGAAAGGAAACCAATAACTGTGAGTTCAAAATTTTTCTTACAAGCGCTTACAGTGACTACAGAGGAGTGAGATCTGGCACTTTATGCCCTGTCTCCTAGCTGTTTATACCCGACACACTAATTACGTCTCGTCATTAATTAACATTTTCATCATATTTTTTCTTAATGTTATGGAAAGAACTAGCTTCAGTAACCTCTTCCTTCAATGCATTCCACTTGCTGACAGGGAATGAGAACTAGTGTAACTATACAGCAACTTTATTATACTGGTTCAAAATTCTTTCAAAAGAGTATGCCAGAATGTGCAGTTAATCAGTAAAACACTGTACTGTATAGAGTACATTTCCATGTGATGTATGTTCTATCCTGTAACTTGTATATTTTTTTTTCTTTTAGACAACACAGATGCTGGGGAGTTGAAGTCTTTCTTAGATACTAATTACAGCCCAGTTTTTCAAGTCTTCTATGAAGCATTCATCATCTTCGAGGGAAATCTAAAACAAAAAGGTGAGAGATATGTCCACGTATTGTCTATAAGTGTTTTTGTGTCTAGTCTATTAAAATTTTTATAACTAATTTTCTGTTCATTTTTGTAATTTCAGGAACATTTGCAGTACAGAAAAGTCATAAAGAGGATCTAGAGTGCTCACTATATGTCTTGGACCGCCTTCTTTGCCTTCTACCAGAGAGATTTGAGAAGCGATGGCAGTGCAATGCCCTTACACACATTTTCAAAAAAATCCTTCACCCTGGGAACATTGTGCGGCTACGGAGAGATGCCATGCGGTAAAACCTTTTCTTGTGTAGTATAGTGCAATTTAAATAACTGTCACTTGATATATTTTGCACATATTGTATAATTTTAAGCATTTTCTAAGTGTCTCTTACATTGCTTATACTATTACATGTATCCTACCAATGCCAAGTACCACCCAAGAATAATTAAATGTAATCTTAACAGATTATTTGTGATCTGGTACATGATTGTTGGAGAGTCGAAAACGCCAGAAATGGATCGCATGTTTGCTTCATTGGTACCAGGGTTCCCAGTTCCACCTCCTTCATCCCTTCCCCCTGACCTGGGCTATGGGGGAGTTACAAGTTTGGAACCATCACCAGTTATCCCTCCACCCAGCACAGAGAAAACACCACCAGATGATCTATCATCATATCTACTTAGGTCACTTTTAGACTTCATGGTTACACAGGTATGTAGAGCTTTTGAAATTAACAAGTAAAAATTGAAACACAATTTTGTGTATGTGTGTGTTTTTTGGGGGGTAATTTTTAGTGTTATATATTAGAGCATATAATAATTTATTATATATTAATGCTATTTTATAATGTTTGATGCTCAGGTACGAAGGATTGAGTGGCAAGATCGTACACTGCACAGCAAATCATTTTCGTACCTGTTTAACATGTTCCGAATGTGGTACATGCCGCATATCTTCCCTAGTTTCATTTCTTCGAACTCCCTGTATAAACCAAATCTAGGTAAGATTATATTTTTATGGACAGTTGGAACTTTTAAAAGCTGCTCATTGAATTGAATTGGTGCATAAAATCTTTTACAGCATTTATGAATGTCAGGCAAACCAACATTTGTATTTTTCAGTAGTTGCAGAGCTGTAATTGAAAGGTACTTTAGCAGGAATATAGCAGTACAATATTGTAAATAAGAGAATGGTAGCAAATTGTATTGGAAGTGAATGGTTACAATGTGAACAAATATTTATGTTGGGAGTTGGTCTTCATTCTGGGTACCAATTAAAAAGGTCTTGACTTGCATCAGTAACTTTCTAAATAAGTACAAACATAGAACTCATGCCACTTAATAGTAAATCAGAAATGTTTTAAAGCAACAAAACTTACTTGTCAGTGCGTTAGATATAATACATTTACTGTATCAACAAAGATATGGAGTGCCATTAGTCATAGACACTTGAAATGATTGTATGAGAATGCTGGTGGTTTAAAAGGAGATTGCCATAATCACTGTACAGTACAGTTTTTTGTGAGGTTCATGAATGGCAAAATGTTAGTTGAAACACATAAGAGAGGTATTGGCATCAAATGAAAAGGTACAACAATCTTACTATAATCTTCAATTTATGTCTTCTTGAGAGAAACTGCAGAGAAAATTTGCATTGTATGTCACTTAGTTATTGATGGAAGAGCACTATTACTGAGCGTTAGTCATTTAAGATCCTGAAGGCAATCATCAGACATAGATGTTAACAATCTGTGTATTTGCAGAAAGATTAGAAAACATGACAAGACAATAAGGAAGCATCATAGTTTCTATATGATCACAATCCACTGTGCACTTCTATTAACCAAAGGCTCGGTGTTTGACCAAAAAAAATAAGACTAAGGATCAGTTGAAGAGTAGGAACTGCTAACAATTATTTGGAAAAAACACTGTTCAATACCAGTCATTTACTTTCCTGATAGTGACCTTGTAGCAAGTAAAGAGTAAAGGCTGAGTCAAATGTTGCTTTTCTACATCTACAAAGATTTCTGATCTAATAAAACACACAAAATGTTTGAAAATACGGCCTATGGAAAACCTAACAGTTATACCCCTTCTCTTACAATCCATGTTTACTAGATTTTGACCCCAGTAGGCTTATTTCTCTTATATAACTTAAAATCCTTCTCCTAGAGATTCTCAGTTGTATAGACATCTGCTTATAGTGGAACAAATGATGAAGTGAATGTTCAGAATTTATTTTAAAGTGCTGCTTCTTTTAAGGAATGAAATCTTGAAGGTCAAACCTTTATGGTTATTATTTATTAGTATACCAGTACTGTTTACAGTGGAAGACCTGTTGTATTGCTCCTTATAAACAATACATGACTGTGGCAGTGGGAGGAAGAAGTGAGTAGTCACGTTGATTATAGTTAATTAGGCAGAGGTGCAGTAGTGGAGACAAAGAAGATCAAAATGTTACGATTTTGTTGCATGAAGAATTTTTATTTTGATTTTTTTAATGTGATGCTTTCCTGTATGTTGGGAAAACGTGTGCAGAGTTCTGATTAGCTGGATTTTATTTACGTTTAAAGATATGAAAGACTGAAATTGCTGTCTCATATTAACAGTATTTATATATAAAATGTTTAGAACAGTTTATACGATGTATTGTATATTTTTATTATGTATATTTTTATAATTTTAATTCATATTATTATATGTTAAATTTCCAGAGTTACCAGAACTTCGTAGCAGCCCAGGATTAAGCCCCTATGGCACTTGTCAAGTGGCAGTCGTGGAGTGGGTGCGGAAGTTTGTCATATCTACCTCACAGCGCAGTGCACAATCGGTGTCATCTGTAGGGTGAGTAGTTCTTTATTATTTTAATTTAGTAGTTTCCCAACACAATGTATTACAGTATTTTGTTTAAATACTGTACTTATCAAGGCCTAAGTGGCTTTTTGTACTAAACTGGCTTACTTTTCTATGATATTCATTTATAATTTATTCCTGCATGCCTGTTATGACAAAGGATGATTTGTAATGGGAAAGATATAGAGGATGGGTGGGTGTTTTGTTGAGTATTTTAACATTATCTTTTCCAATACTGCTTGCCTAATTCCTTTGGGCTCATACCTCGCTCTCCCTGTGAAGTGGAAAAATGAGGGTAATGATGGTGATGTTTCTCTATAAATATCCATCTCTCAGCCTCATCTCATGTTGCAAGACTGGAATGGGCAGATACAGTATTGTATTACTGTATGACGGTAATCTTGACATGCTCCTGTTCCATGACATGCTCCTGTTCCATGACATGCTCCTGTTCCATATTTTACTCGTGTGTGTTATTGTAACTTAGGTACGTTAGGCATTTTATTGATTTTGTTTAGTTGCCTTTAAATTAGTCACTAAAATATTATATGAATGCATTACACTGCATAGAGAAATATGGACAGTTCAGTTACAGTATATTCTGCACTTGATCGGTCAGGCTGTTTGTCTTGGCAGACTGGCTGATCAGGATTTAAGGAACTTCTCATGTTTCTTCATGAAGATATCAGTCTGTTGGTAATTCCCCTTACATGTGATGTGAAGATATTGAAAAGACTTGGTCCCTTCATTTTCCCATGATTCATTCTTTTATCTTGCTTGTGCATATTTTAAGGCAGTGAATGAGTTTCTCAGTTTTATCAATAATGCATTATGTTCTCACTGTAATTAAATTTATCATATTATTTATAATAAAGATATTTTTGAGTTGATTTTATTGTTGACCAAACCACACACTAGAACGTGAAGAGATGACGACGTTTCGGTCTGTCCTGGATCATTATCAAGTCGATCACACTCGACTTGATAGTAGAGGACAGACTGAAACGTCGTCGTCTCATCACGTTCTAGTGTGTGGTTTGGTAAACATTTTTCAGCCACGTTATTGTGATTCTTCATCTGCATATTGATTTTATTATTTGTTCTAGTTGATAACTTTCAACGAAAGGTTTAACTTGTATGGGTTATTTCTACAGGGAAGAAGATGGTCGACGTTCTGGTCATGGTGATGCGCAAGAAGGAAGCACCAGTGACCAAGACTCCATCACATCAGCCTTTTATGTCACGTAAATTGCCTCTTTATGTATATCACACTTGAATCTCCTGCCTTAAAGGATGTTTAATGATCGTACAGTGTTGTCATTATTTTGTTAACAAGTATGCAGAATTCAGAGATGAGCCACTATGTTCATTGAAGTGAATGGTGTTGGTGCCAAATACGATACTTCTCTTCCTGCCTGCCATCTAACTTATCCTTATATGGCATTGTAGTCTTTTGATAGTAGGCCTAATTAGTTGGCCAGAAATACAAAGGAAGATATTATGCTAGTTTTCATGCCGGTCCAGTTCATTTTTTTTTCATGCGGTTTTAAATGATGCTGTAATATGATGAGAAGTTTGTAAAAAAAAACTTGAAGAAATCTTTGTAATTGCTTTTCCCATATGTGGTCTATTACATTTTCTCCAAATTAACGTGTCAAATTCTTTGGCAAATATTTAAAAAAGCGTTTCATCAAAAGTCTTCAGTAATTACCATGTAACTTGTATTATTCGGCTTAATCAAAACCGAGACACCTTGTCAAGGGCATGGTTTATCGAAAGAAATCCTGTATGTAATGACTCGGCTCTGCTCCATTTACTGCATTCAAGCCAGGCCCCACTGTAATAAAAATAATAATAATAAATGCACCTTTTGTTCCACTGTACTGTAATTTCCTCGTTTCCACTGCACTAAAGTGGAAAATTGGGGAAATATGAATTAACCAAAATTATAATAATATTAATTTTTTTAACTCAATTGAGTAACTGTGATGATAGTAATAATGATAGTGTATCTTTAGCTCTAGGTTTTGTAACATTCTTTGTTATATAAATTAAATGAAAAGCTGAAGGAATTTGTATGAACAATTACTGTATGCATAATATAATAAACATGAGGTATATAACTACTCTGTAATTTGTTCCAGTGATGAAGGGAGCTCAAATGAAGATGGTATCATGGTTCGAGACATCATCTTTTCATCACGGGAAAACATTAACTTCATCCACGAACTGTTTCGTCAGGCTTTATGTCTCAGTTTTCGCTATGCATCAATCATGAAAACTGTCATATTTACATATAAAGACTGGATACAAATGAATGTAAGTATTATATGCTCTTTTATTTGTAATAGTATTGATTACTTCTGAAATTATCTGCTTATTCATCGCTGCTATCTTATAATTCCTGTTATTGGGGACAGGAAGTCTGTACTTAGGCTTATCTTGGTCCTCCTAGGCCTACCCCTAACTGCTGACCTCACCCCAAAATGCAACCCACAACAATTACCTAACTCCCAGATATCTGGGTCCAACCACTTGGGCTGGACGGTAGAGTGACAGTCTCGCTTCATGCAGGTCGGCATTCAATCCCTGACCATCCAAGTGATTGGGCACCATTCCTTTCCCCCCATCCCAATCCCAAATCATCATCCTGACCCCCTTCCAAGTGCTATGTAGTCGTAATGGCTAGGTGCTTTCCCCTGATAATTCCCTCTCCCAGATATCTGTTTTGTAGCTTTTTTAACAGAGGCATCAAGTGAAATGAAATGTGCCCAACCATTTCTGTCCTGCCTGATGAATAAATTCCAGTCCCTCAGTTATGATCCGAGGACGTAGACCACTGTGCTGTTGATAATGTGTTTCTCATTATTTTCATGATCTTAATTGCAAGTAGTGTGTGTGCTTTACTAGTCACAAGCAGCTGGAGTTGTGCAGTGCCAGCATTATATCATGTGAATACAGGTATTCTGTTTCTAAATATTCTGTTTTTTTGTTATTCTGTAATATATTATATTCCCTATATTATATTATTCCCTATATTATATTCCCTATAATATATATATTATTATATAATATAAATATTCTGTATTCTGTTTTTTTTTAGTTTAATGTTATGTACTCCTCACCATCACTGAGACGATGTTGAAAAGTACTTCAAGCTCCCCAACTGTGCTCAGGGTTACCCAATTTACTTTCCTTAAGGAACTCTCCAATCCATTATTATCAGCTTTGCAGAAATTTGGTACTTTTAACAGAGCTTTCTCTTGCACAACTTTTCTTTGCTATATTAAACTATTTCTTCATAGTCACTATTCAATAATGTACTCCTGTTTTGATGATAGTATGTACTAGTGTGTGCCTATTTGACAGGACTAATAATTAATTTTCCATGTTGGCTTCACGATACAGTACAGTATATTGTTCATGAAAGTGGTCGTGAACTAATTTCACTAATTTTACTCGCCTGTAATGCAAACATTGTTACACCTAGATACCCTAGTTATATCTGCCCAGATATACTTTCCTACCATTCTGTCAAGGTTTCGGTATGTGGCTCTGCTTTGATTCCCTCTCCGAGATAACAAGTTTTAAGTATTCTCCCAATAAGCAATGCCGTACTTCTTCTGAGTTTTGTGCCTCCTTTTTTTCTTTTCCTCCCTTCCTACATTCTCCACTTGCATATGGTTGCTAAGGCAGTCCTCGCCCCTTTCCACACCTCTTTGTTTTCCAAGACAAGCAAGAAATGACTGTTTTGCGTATACGAAAGCTAAGCCATTATGTAGCTTCTTAAGCAAAGGTTTTAAATTTTTTTTTCAAAACTGAGGTTGAATGTGCTTTCTTGTGATAACTGTACAGAAAGATCACCTCTATAAGTAAGAGGTAGAACAAGGAAGCAAACATACAGACACAGTACATTTATTAAATGGTGTTTTGCTGAATTGCAAATAGAAAAATTTAACTATTTTTATAACTATATCATCTTCAGGCTCCTGAGATGCCACCCTTTATGTTGGAACCATTGGAAGGAGGAACCAGTCCAAGAGAAGATGCAGCAGTTGCACAAGAAAATAACACACAGAGACGTTTGCGCAATGAATCTTATCTTGGAGCTGTCAATAAAGACATCCATATTCGGGCAGGGCTTCAGGTATGAATGATACTGTACACGTTTGATTTAAGATATTATTTTAGATGTGGAAATAATATTCAGTGACTAACTTTTTATGGTTCAAGTTTACAGCATTTTTAAAGTGTCATCAATTCCTATTACTCATAGATTCCAAACAGTGATACATTAAATGAAATGACAGTAGCTGAAAAGATTTTAATGTACTAGTAACTTCCACAGAATGTTCTACAAATCTTCATAACAAGTGCAGCAAACGTGTTCCTCCTGGAAGTTTCACCAGACTATCCACGTCTCCTTGATGAACAAGTAGAGGTGTGCAAGCATGTACTGAATATCTATCGATACATGGTCATGAATACTCGCATGGAGCAGAAAACATGGTAAATAAAACAGTTTTTCATGTGCATATATTGTCCAGGCAAGAAAACTGAATATAATAAGAATAAAAATACATACAGTATAAAGATTAACCAAGCAAAGAAAGTAGAGAAAAAGATTTTTGTTTTTGTACACTTATATGATCAAAATATACATATGCTATGTATTTTACAGTGTATTATGCCATAAAACATTTTGGCTTAAAGTATTACTGGTATATATACGCACTACTGGTACTAAATTTGTGTTTGCATGCAAATTTTGGGGGGTAAATATTATATTTTGCTCATACAATATTTAATAAAATTCTGTATAATTTGGTTCAAGAGAAGATTCTGGGAACACATTCCTGCTTAGAACCTGGCGTGTGCTGTAGTAGCTCATTTGATACATGTACATTCTTTCCACTTAACACTATTTCATGCATTGCTATTTTAAATGTCATTACTAAACATTTCTTCTTTCTCTATTTTACAATGAAACTACCTTACTCATTTGATATTGCAGTGCTTGAAAAATATCAAATTTTGTATTTCACATAGATGAATCGACTGTTTTTGCTCATTTTCTATACTTCCTGTCCAACAGAGATGGCTTTGATCAAACAATAACATAGCTATTTCTTATGTGTATCCTTCAACTCAAGTTCTCGTGAATGAACAGATTCTCCCACACTTTTTATACCACATCATCACTGCTCACTGTCCTCTCAAATTTTCTCAAGTGAAATCTATACTGCCATTTGCAGTATCATTTTCTCATGTAAACTGGTACTTGCATTCATTTATATGTTTTGATTGTACCTTTTGGTAGTGTCCTGCCTTGTTTTAATGGTTCTTTCACTTTAACTGCCCATCTGGATCATATTCTGCTCCTTAAGCATTGCATTTTGATTGTTATTTCCACTGGCATGTGTTTCATATTGTTAAACCGTCTCCGGGGACCTCATTTCCATTGTCTCTAGCTACTTCCTCACCTTGCCAAACCTAATCTTAACTTTAATATACCTATTTTTGTAATATCAAATATTAATGGAGTAATAATTTTTGAAATATTAATACTCACTTTTCAAGTTTGGACATTTACTATCCACAGTTTAGCTTCAATTAATAATTCAATCAATCTTGTTAGCTTAATTAAGGATTATAAAATTTCAGTGCTTATTTGTATTGGTGTGGTATATAATTATTGACAACAGTCTACTATTTATTATTTTATTACAGGGAACAATTACTAGTGGTGCTACTTCACGTTACTTCCCAAACTCTGTGTGGACGGCCCACCACGCACAAAGAGGATTCCCTAGGGGGACGCTTTGCCTCGGCTCTTTTTCAGGTTGGTTGCTTCATGAATTGGTATTGTATGTAGTTGTTCGCTTTTCACAAAATATAGGACAGATGGAAACAAAAATTTCATCTTGGGATTTATTTCTTCACCATACAGGTGGGTAGTCCCTGCATATATCAGTACTTTTGTATAGACCTGTTCATGAGGGGAAATTGTTCGAAGATCTATTTATTTAGGGTGTCCCTTTTTTTTCAAGGACATCATATTGCTCTGTGATAATATAGGAAATGACCGAGTAATTTTTGTCATTATTATTATTTGTGCAAAATGTCTTGAGTGTTTGCATAAATGAGGGAGGGAGAGTGGGAACTATATTATTTATTAAATGTAATTATTTATTTTATAATTAAATTTTGTGTACTCGCGTAGTTGTGCTTGCTGGCATTGAGCTTCAGCTCTTTTGGTCCTACCTTTCAGCTGTCAGTCAACTGGTGTACAGGTACAAGAGTCTGTTGGGTTCTATCATATCTACATTTGAAACTGTGCATGGAGTTTCACCTCCACCACATCACTGCCTAGTGCATTTCAGCTGTTAAATACTCTGATACTGAAAATATTCTTTCTTATATCTCTCTGGGGCTCATTTGGGTACTAAATTTCCACCTGTGTCCCCTTGTTTGTGTACCACCTTTGTTAAATAGTTTGTCTTTAGCTACCCTGTCTTTAGTTTGTCTAAGGGGCCTGACAGCTGAGCGGGCAGCGCTCGGGATTTGTAGTCCTAAGGTTCTGGGTTTGATCCCCGGTGGAGGCGGAAACAAACGGGCAGAGTTTCTTTTGCCCTGATGGTCCTGTTCGTCTAGCAGTAAAGTAGGTACCTGGGAGTTAGACAGCTGCTACGGGCTGCTTCCTGGGGGTGTGTAACAAAAAGGAGACCTGGTCGAGGACAGGGCCGTGGGGATGCTAAGACCCGAAATCATCTTGAGGTAACCTCAAGATAACCCCTGCCAATTCTTCAGAGAATTTTGTTGGTATAAAATCATCATCTTTTATGATATTGTGAGAGATAACGTTTTATATGTTTGTTATTTTCTTTTATGCAAGATACTTTTAAATTGTAAATATATATTATTATTTCCAGACTCTTATTGTGTCATGGATAAAAGCTAACTTGAGCGTTGCCATATCTGGGGAGCTATGGGACCAGCTGCTGCTAACTCTGGCGTCACTCACACACTGGGATGAGCTGATCAAGGAGTGGGCGGTAAGGAAGATATCCGTTCATATTTGTGTAATGGCTGATATTGTGGCACAACTAGGCAGTGTCATTATCAAAGCAGCAGTTGATGGAGAGTTTTCCATGTGTCATGCATTTTTGTTGTTATTCTTACTGGAAATATTTATTTTCCAAAAGCTTTGTTGGTATATTTTAATAAAGTTAGATACACTGTGTGTCCTGCATTCACTAGTGTAATTTTGCCATACAGTATGACTTGTAAATTCCAATATGACAATATAAATATATACGATACTACAATATGACTGTACAGTAGTACAATATGACAATGTACACTACAACATGACATGTATATTCCAATTATCACCTCTTGTTTGTATGCAATATTCTTCTAACTATAATGTTGCTTTTAATTATAAGTTTATAATTGATTTTAATTTGATGTGGACGTATTGTATATACTTACGCATTACAGCTTGTGGAATTTTTTAGCAGTGAGCCTCTTTTTATGCAGTTTTTATCAAGAATTGGCTAAACTGTCATTGGTTCACTGAGAGCATTTGAGACGCCTGAGGAGTATCACTCAGTTTTGTGATTACTCTGGCCGAGAAACTCATACAATTAAATACTGTAAAAGCCTGTTTGTTTTTTTCCACAGCATTTTCACAACCAAATGAATTTGGTTGTTGTCTTGATGATGACTATTCATTATTGGGATAAAAATATATATATATATATATATATATATATATATATATATATATATATATATATATATAATAAATATAAATAATTTTGTTTAATTTAAGGTTAGTAAAGGAATATGTCAAAGAAAGATGTTGATTTGTCAGCCGATATCATGAGAAATCCGAGGCAAAAATTCATTTGAATGAATATAGTTCAGTGCTGAATATCCAAATTACCATTACGGGAAGAAAGCCCAAGTATTAAGAAAATATCCACAAAGGTACTGTATTCTAAGACATAATCGTGTGGTATTATATTAGGAGAGTTCTGATCATAGAAATAAGTTTAGATTTCTGGAGTATGTATCTTAATTCATACTATAGGAAACCATCATTTTGCCTTTAATGTGAAGGTCAGCAAAAATTTACATTGAGAAAAGGCTATGGAATTTGTAAAGCTAATAAGGATTAATTTGAGAAGATAAATGATTATTCGCACTTAAAAATTATATATAGTATTAAAAGTTCCAGTAGTATGGGAAGTTTTTTGTTTATATAAAAAGTCTATGTCAAAAGACTGGTAATGAAAGAATGATAATATGAAATGAGGAGGATGATTTGGCTCATATATTAAAAGATGTTTTTTGCCTCTTTGAGTGTTTTCACCCCTGGTAGCAACAGCAGTAGTAACACACTCACCCTGCTCCTTGTGAGCCATTTGGTTTTGCCTTGAGTCTTGGTCAGGAAGGATTGATTAGGTCCCGATGCTTTACTGTTCCCCACTGTTCACCCAGCAGTACTGTAATTGTAAATCTGTTGTAAATCGATTGTCAGGTCATGTTCAATGGAAACTAGTGAGCAAAGCTTACCAATAGCTAAAAGGAGTCAGAAGTTTCTTGTTCTTGTACCCACCTGTGTTAAAAATAAAATCAACAAATGTGGAACTAATAATAAGCTTATGCAGATTAAATGTTATAAATTTGTTTAAAATTCTTTTTTTCCTAATAAAATGCTTGTTTCAGAAAACATTGGATACTCTAACACGTGTGCTGGCTCGACACGTGTATGGTCTAGAGCTCAATAATCTTCCTTTGGAGCGTGTGACAGAACGTCGTTTAATTAAAAGGGGAACCAAATTAACAGGACTAGATGTAAGTACTGTTTATGGATTAATAATGCAGTGTTATGGTGCATTTCTATCAATTTCTGTTGCACACTTGCACTAAATTGAGAGGTGATATTAGGTTCACGAAGAAACTGGATAAGAATAGATAAGAATGGCAAATCAGAATTTGCCACAATAATTGTTTATTTTTGTCTGTTTTGTTTATTATAGGTGATATAGTAACCCACTTGAATTGTAAATTATAAGGAATTTACACCTTTATTTAAAGATCTACAGAATACTGAAGCAAAATGGAGTATATCTGTCAGAAATGTTTTTGAGTTTAAAAAATTGCATAAGTCAATGTGCAAGTTTTTAAATCTTAAATTTTTGTTATTAATAAGTAAATATATTGAAGTTTTTAGATGTGTTTAATTACTGGTTGCTCTGATACTAAATGTTACTTTTGGGCTTCAGTCTGTCAGAAGCAGTTTTGCTCGAAGTTGGAGTAGTGTTCGTATGGAACGTCAGGTTCATGCTCCAGATAATCACAATGCTGGGCCTTCTACACTGTCTCACCTACAGGAGGAGTCACAGGGAGACAATGTTAGCACCCAAGGTGAGTGTCTTAGCCTGGGCCATCTTTTTTGGGGCCTGATGGTTTGATGTCTAGAAGAAAGTGTTTACACTTAAAAGTTTAGCAAATGTGCTGTAATTATTTTATTTCATTCTAGTCATATTATCCAAATGAAGTAAACTTCTAGGCAGAGAAATTCCAGGGTTGTCATGTGATAGGTATTTTGTCTTATTCTCAGGTCTGCATGTCACCTTTTTAGTTCCCATCAGAGATCTGACTTTCAGAACAAATGTCACACTATGTTTTTCTGGATTTAGTTATCTTAACATTGGGTCAAAGTGCAATTATTTAAGTCATTGTCTCAGTTTTGTATGATTGTGAACTGTGAGACTTTATCTTATGAGACTATGAGACCTTAATAAGTTAAATTGTTCATCAAGGGAGTGCTCAAAACATGCCAGTTTCATCACTGACAATTTAACTTTGCTACAAATGTTAACTTGACTGTAATTAACTACTACTTAAATAATGAGTGATGCATATAAGGGTTTGATAGGTCTACAGGAAAGAAAAAAACAAAACAATCTAAACGTTATCAAAGTCATGTCATGAGCCCTGGAGTCATGAACTGTGTTCAGGGGAAGTTTGATGCAGGCTGGACCCTGAAACTGTTGTTGATGTTGAACCGGATATATTTGGCAATATTTTTATTTATACTGTTTATATATATTTTGTATCAGTGCTTGTGATATATACGGTATCATATCTCTATATGGTAAATAACTTGAACTAAACTTTTTGTGTAATATTTGTCCCACAATTTTAATTCTGTTATTTATTTTGCATGTAATTCATTGGTAAATCAAATTTCTCCAACTTTATGTTGGAAACAATTATAAATATAAATACTTGTACAATTATGAATTAAGATAATCAGTTTAATTAAATGGAGTAGAAGGTGAGGAAGTAATGTTGAGATGCCAGTATGTTGATGTTACCTTTATCATAAGTGTTGAGAAACTGCAGGAATAATAATAATTAGGATCTTCAGCATTTGTATTAATTTAAGAAACGTGTGACGTATAAAAATGAGTTACATAAAGTTACGACACTACGGTAAAGCTCTTGACCAAAATAGTCTAAATATGACATGTGTCATATACGTACATGTATATTATTCCTGCATTTTTTCCCCCTTGTTAAGACAGTTTTTTCTAGTTGCTGTCCAAGGAAGATGGGTGGCAATAATTTTTATTTAATAATGTCATGGACAACAAAGAAACGATTTCTCTTCCACTGGAAAAGGGGATTTTTATATTTTATGAAGATTTGAATTCATAAATTGTAAATTGAGATGAAGATTCACAGTGAAAATGTTTGAAGGAGAAATGAGGTTATGTTATTGGTCTACAATTTTGATATAATGTTACTGAGAATGAGTTTTTCAAATATAAGAATAACATACAGGAAAGGAGCAATGTAGAAATTTGCATGTTACAAATTTATTACAGAAAATGGTGTTTAAGAATTTAATGAACTCTTATTGTTAATTTATCATGTCAATGTGTACTTTATTATTCAAAATACAAATACTCAACAGGGAGCAGCGATCGCAGTCCATTTTCCCGAAAGCGTTGTGGAAGCGTCGGCGGGGGGTCTCTCAAAGCTGGTGCTGGTGGCAATGGCAGTAGTCCTAAACTGTCTCCACACCACCCTTCTGGTGACCACTCTCATTCCTCACATAGTCACCACCATGATCACCATCTCCATACACATCACTCCTCCCACCCAGGACTTGGCAGACGACTCACACGCTCATTGTCCGAGTCAAGTTTGATAGTGAGGAGGAGACCAGGCCGAGCGCGTTCACATGGTAAGTGCTTATGTGCCTTCTCCATTTATGCTTTTCAATTTTTTTTTTTTTTGGTCCAATGGGTAAATTTTTGGTGTCTTAATGTACTTTCTGAATGAACATGACGATTTCAGATATTAGATGTATATAATTTTGTTTTCTGTTTACTATTTATGTCATATACAGTATATATATAATGTGTGTATATATATATATATATATATATATATATATATATATATATATATATATATATATATATATATATATATATATATATATATATATATATATATATATATATATATATATATATATATATATATATATATATATATATATATATATATATATATATATATATATATATATATATATATATATATATATATATATATTATATATATTATTATATATTATATATATATATATATATATATATATTTTATTAAATATGACCGAAAAAGTAAGATTAATAATTCTAACACGAATTTTCTCAATCTTTCGTACATTATGCTTCACTGTTGGAGGTAAATCAAAAATCACTTCTCCAAAATTCATTTTTATTTCTAGTCTGACGCGACACGGGCGCGTTTCGTAACACTTATTACATTTTCAAAGACTTCACAAATACACAACTGATTAGAACTTGCGTTTCCCTGATTTTATATCTACATTTGAGTGAGGTGGGAAGGGTGATGTGGCATTACATTTGAGTGAGGTGGGAAGGATGATGTGGCATTAGAGGATATTAATAGGGTATTAAAAGTATCAACACAAGACAGAACACGAAACAATGGATATTGAATAGAAGTGTTTGTAGAAAGCCTATTGGTCCATATTTCTTGATGCTTCTATATTGGAGCGGAGTCTTGAGGTGGGTAGAATATAGTTGTGCAATAATTGGCTGTTGATTGCTGGTGTTGACTTCTTGATGTGTAGTGCCTCGCAAACGTCAAGACGCCTGCTATCGCTGTATCTATCGATGATTTCTGTGTTGTTTACTAGGATTTCTCTGGCGATGGTTTGGTTATGGGAAGAGATTATATGTTCCTTAATGGAGCCCTGTTGTTTATGCATCGTTAAACGCCTAGAAAGAGATGTTGTTGTCTTGCCTATATACTGGGTTTTTTGGAGCTTACAGTCCCCAAGTGGGCATTTGAAGGCATAGACGACGTTAGTCTCTTTTAAAGCGTTCTGTTTCGTGTCTGGAGAGTTTCTCATGAGTAGGCTGGCCGTTTTTCTGGTTTTATAGTAAATCGTCAGTTGTATCCTCTGATTTTTGTCTGTAGGGATAACGTTTCTATTAACAATATCTTTCAGGACCCTTTCCTCTGTTTTATGAGCTGTGGAAAAGAAGTTCCTGTAAAATAGTCTAATAGGGGGTATAGGTGTTGTGTTAGTTGTCTCTTCGGAGGTTGCATGGCTTTTCACTTTCCTTCTTATGATGTCTTCGATGAAACCATTGGAGAAGCCAATGAAGCCAATTTAGGAATGTGCCTAAATGCCAACAGCGACTGCCCTGACAGGTACAAGAGGAGTGTTGTTAACGCATACGTCGACCGTGCTCTCAGCCACAGCTCAGAATGGAAGCAAGTCGACGAAGAACTCTGTAGGGTAAGGCAGGTTCTAGTCAATAACGGCTTCTCCAATGGTTTCATCGAAGACATCATAAGAAGGAAAGTGAAAAGCCATGCAACCTCCGAAGAGACAACTAACACAACACCTATACCCCCTATTAGACTATTTTACAGGAACTTCTTTTCCACAGCTCATAAAACAGAGGAAAGGGTCCTGAAAGATATTGTTAATAGAAACGTTATCCCTACAGACAAAAATCAGAGGATACAACTGACGATTTACTATAAAACCAGAAAAACGGCCAGCCTACTCATGAGAAACTCTCCAGACACGAAACAGAACGCTTTAAAAGAGACTAACGTCGTCTATGCCTTCAAATGCCCACTTGGGGACTGTAAGCTCCAAAAAACCCAGTATATAGGCAAGACAACAACATCTCTTTCTAGGCGTTTAACGATGCATAAACAACAGGGCTCCATTAAGGAACATATAATCTCTTCCCATAACCAAACCATCGCCAGAGAAATCCTAGTAAACAACACAGAAATCATCGATAGATACAGCGATAGCAGGCGTCTTGACGTTTGCGAGGCACTACACATCAAGAAGTCAACACCAGCAATCAACAGCCAATTATTGCACAACTATATTCTACCCACCTCAAGACTCCGCTCCAATATAGAAGCATCAAGAAATATGGACCAATAGGCTTTCTACAAACACTTCTATTCAATATCCATTGTTTCGTGTTCTGTCTTGTGTTGATACTTTTAATACCCTATTAATATCCTCTAATGCCACATCATCCTTCCCACCTCACTCAAATGTAATGCCACATCACCCTTCCCACCTCACTCAAATGTAGATATAAAATCAGGGAAACGCAAGTTCTAATCAGTTGTGTATTTGTGAAGTCTTTGAAAATGTAATAAGTGTTACGAAACGCGCCCGTGTCGCGTCAGACTAGAAATAAAAATGAATTTTGGAGAAGTGATTTTTGATTTACCTCCAACAGTGAAGCATAATGTACGAAAGATTGAGAAAATTCGTGTTAGAATTATTAATCTTATTTTTTGGTCATATTTAATAAAATATGTCTACAGGAAAGACTGCTACCAAAATATACTAATATATATATATATATATATATATATATATATATATATATATATATTATATATATATATATATATATGTCGTACCTAGTAGCCAGAACGCACTTCTCAGCCTACTATGCAAGGCACGATTTGCCTAATAAGCCAAGTTTTCATGAATTATTATATTTTCTCTAATTTTTTTCTTATGAAATGATAAAGCTACCCATTTCATTATATATGAGGTCAATGTTTTTTAATGAAGTTAAAATTACCGTAGATATATGACCGAACCTAACCAACCCTACCTAACCTAACCTAACCTATCTTTATAGGTTAGGTTCGGTTAGGTAGCAGAAAAAGTTAGGTTAGGTTAGGTTAGGTAGGTTAGGTAGTCGAAAAAACATTAATTCATGAAAACTTGGCTTATTAGGAAAATCGGGCCTTGCATAGTAGGCTGAGAAGTGCGTTCTGGCTACTAGGTACGACATATATTTATATATATATATATATATATATATATATATATATATATGTATATATGTGTATATCACGAAAATAAACATGTGATTAAGAATGTGACAATGTCAGACCACGGAGGAAAAATGAAACAGGAATTTCCTTAAGTACTTTCGTATATTAAATACATCTTCAGAAGGTCAAGGACCTTCTGAAGATGTATTTAATATACAGTACGAAAGTACTTAAGGAAATTCCTGTTTCATTTTTCCTCCGTGGTCTGACATTGTCATATGTATATATAAATATACACATATATTATATACACACATACATACATATACACAAATACAGGGGTACCTCGATTTAAGAGTTTAATCTGTTCCTGGAAACAGCTCGTAATCCGAAAACTCGTAAACTGAAGCTAATTTCCCCATAAAAAATAATGGGAATTGAATTAATCCGTTCCTGACTACCCAAAAACCTCACTTCAAACTAAATTTTATACCTAATTCATCCAAATCTACACTACAAAAGTATGTTCAAGTTATTACTTACCCTTGCTGATGACTCCTGTTGGCATATGGAAGATGGTGAGGAGGGGGGAGGAGGAGAGGTGTTACTGTTTGGAAGGGGAGTCCCCTTCCATTATAACATCAGGCAGTAAAGATTTTTCTGCAGTGCACTCTCTGGCACGTTTTGCCTGTCTACCACTAGGTCCTGGTTGTAATTACCTAAGTGTAATTACCTAAGTGTAGTTACAGGATGAGAGCTACGCTCGTGGTGTCCCGTCTTCCCAGCACTCTTTGTCATATAACGCTTTGAAACTACTGACGGTCTTGGCCTCCACCACCTTCTCACTTAACTGAAGTGAACTTAATTGTGGCTTACTGCTCGATTTTCTCACAATGAAGCAATCCATTGAAGATTGTTTTTCCCTTCTTTGCAACACTTGTCTGTAGTAAGACAAGACATTGGCATTGTCATTTAATGGTTGGCAAGAGATTTGATTGAAAGTAGAATTTGCCAAAGCCATTTCTATTCACAGCTTAAAAAAATGTATGACACCGAAGGTGAACGTCAAGAGAGATGATAAGAGCTAGGAGGCTGAAGACACAGCACACGATCTCATGCCTCCTTTGTTATAAGCAATTGGATATCCAATCATTTTTATTTTTGGAATTATTTTTATCCAGTTATTTTCTATTGGGAAACAATATTGCATACATAGTAGTCCATACATGAAGATGGTCAAGTTGACTTTTTATCACGAACCAGACAAACTGACATACTGTGTGTGTGTAAATCACGAAGAAATTAACATGTGGTGAATAATATGACAATGTCTTACCACAAAGGAACATAAGACACGAAATTCCTTAAATACTTTTCGTATTAATCAATACATCTTCAGAAGGATCGTGTACTACTATGTACGAAGGATCACAAATGTACTATGTATTATTAAACATGATGAACCCCTAATAGTGAGGGTGTGCATGAACAATTTTGCTTTATGAATATTTTGTTAGTATAAATGTGTTTCTTCTTTTAGTCATGGTTGTTTTACACCATATTGCTAACCTCTTTTTTTTTTTTATTATTATTATTATTATTATTATTATCTAGGACCTGGCCACTTTAGGATCTGCCGAATTATCTGATGATCTAGCCACCTTAGAACTTGGCCACGTTAGAATCTAGCCACTTTAGGCATCGACAGTTTAGGAGCTTATGACTTTCATTGTTTTTTTTGCTCAGAATAATGCACGTTCCACAGTCGGATGCAGTAGACTGTTTGTGCCATTTTATGTCTCTTATGTCTGTCTCTCTGCCCTTCTGTCTCTGGTTATGTCTGTCTGTCTGGTTTGTTCATTGAATTGTAAATATTTTCATGATTTAGTCAGAAATTCAAATAACATAAGCTTGTATGAGTATATTGCTCTGTACATGATAATGTTGTCCATTTAAACATTTATTTAATGCTCTATATCTGAGCTAAGGTCTCTTGGTTGGATCCTTTGAGCTAACTCATCAATAAGGAATTCAAGAGAAGGAGGGGAAGACATCATGAACCAAAAGAGTTGAGACAATAGGAACTGGACTAGCAATAGATTCTTCAGAGCCACTGGGCAGTGCACCATATGATCCTAGAGCTGTTGGCAGGCAGCATACCAGAGAAACTGGAAAAGGACCTTCAACCACTCCCTTCTCAACTGAAAACAAAGCATACAAAATTCAACTAGCTGCACAGATCCTTGATATTCTGATAGTAGATGATGCCTCCCAAGAATCAGATGAAAATAGATGGCAAGCCAAGCCTAAGCATACACTTGAAGGGAGGGATGCAGACCTGGTGTTCCAAACCAACCCCACCCACTGGAAGAGTTGCTAGGGACTTGGATGAGACTTTGGCTTGTTGGCAATGATGCCAAAGCAAGCCACCACCCGCAACATCCTAGCACCGATTTGCCGGCAACACTGATGGATAGGATACCCAAGTTAACCAGTCATTGAGGTAGACCAGAACATGGATTCCCAGGAACTTTGTTTTCAAAGAACCACCCTTGTAGCTTGGAAGATGGGTTGAGTGCCATGCTGAGCTCGCAGGATAGAGCCTGTTAGGAGTAATGTTTGACTCAAAATCCTGGTCTGTCCCTTTACACAGAATTGATGGAAATATGCCAGTAGGCATCCTTGAAGTTCAGGGAAATAAGCCAAAACTGGTTCAACATTATACAGTGAACTACAAACATGATGATCATTTGGGAAGAATGACATAGGTTGTGAGAATTGATCCACGGCAAGTTGATCAACCAATCTCTCCAACCAATCCATCACCGAGGCCTACCACGATAGGGCTGATGAGAATTGCGATGTACAGTAAATTACCAAGATCTTGTAATACTTTAGGGAACTCCCTACTGATTGAAGGCAGTGACTGGGTGATTGCTCAGCCAGTAGCTAGCAAAGTGATAATTTATATTTTATTTTTTGTTTGGAGGGGAGCTTGTCACGTCTAATACATGTTATTTTATAAGTTTTAATGAGTTGGTCTCTCAGTTGTGGTCCGAGTTAAATTTGTTATTGCCTCAACTTCATCAACTACATAACCAAACTATTTGGAACGGTATTGGTCTTGGTGAGTGAGCATAAATCCTAGCCAGCAGAATATATTTCTGTAATCCCATACAAGTTTTTGGCTCAATTCAGTTGTTTGCACTTTTACTGTCACAATTTCCTGTATACGTAACAGTTTTTTTGCATTTCACATGTATATGTTAGTTAGCCTTTTGTTTACTTGCACTAAAATTGTTTTGATGTCATATGAAAAGAAGAATTGAGTTTTTCCCTTTGATGCATGCTCTGTGAAATGAAGTCATTTGATTTTTTTTTGGTATATAGTATTATCAAATCCTAAATGTTACCATTCTGAAAACATGGATACCAGACACTTCTTTGTGATGTTAGTCAATGTTTGTTGTTACCCAGGCGAGTGTGATGGTCACATGAGCAGTCACCCGTTCTTGCACGGCACAAGATCTAAATCCCTGGAGACCCTTTCTCACGGTAGGTTTACATTTAGTCGTCATAAGTAGGTAATAAAGCCACTTTAGTAACTTTACTAAAGTTATTTAATCTCCCACAGTAGACCTGCTGCCATTTTTCTAGGTGGGTTTAAAGTACCTCTCATGGTAAGTTCAGTTATTTTTCCCTTTTAGGTTCATAGTTAGCTTGTTAGAATAGATTATATTTTTTTCAATTACCAAAACAAAAAAGTTTTTCCATTGAAAGGTGTGGTGGATTTTTTTTACCATGTACTGTAGTAGATTTCCAATCTAATTTTCGTCTTTAGATTCAAATATGTTTATCCATAAGAGTCATAGTTGCTTTCATATGTTGGATTTGTTTAGTCTTTTCCTCTTAGCACTTTTACAATGCAGTAGTTTTCTGTGTTTAGTATTTAACTGAAATATTATATACAGTAAGTTAGTTAAGTAAGACAACATATTGATACCAGTAGGACAAAGTACGATGGTTTCTGTATAGGGATTCCAGATTCCACAGTGACTTAAAACAGTGGCTGCACACTACTCAGACTGTAGCACCCTCTTCATTTCACTAGTTGATTCAAGGGAGATATATACATTCTATTACATTTGTGTTTCATCCTGTAAAACTTAAAAGTTCACTAAGCTTTCACCTCCTTGTCATTTGTCCAATTGATGGGGAAAAATACCAGGTTGAGAATAAGAGCTTGTTGAAGATGGTGTTTTTATCGGTAATGCAGAAAGACCGTCTTCAGTAAGGTATACTCTCAACTTTGTGTTTGTCTTTATTATTCTCAGCACTTTGTGGTCTAATCGACTATTGGTTATGCTAGCAGTCTGATGGCTTGTGCATTTTATGTTCAATTTCTCATTTGGTTCCTTTGCCATTTTCAGTGGGTGTTAGGGAGCATAATGAACTATCAGATACCCATCTACCTGTATGTCCATCTATATGCTTCAGTGTTGTGTGTGTGTGTGTGTGTGTGTGTGTGTGTGTGTGTGTGTGTGTGTGTGTGTGTGTGTGTGTGTGTGTGTATAGGCTCATTCGTATGTACAGCACAGTATATTACAACTGTCTTCATACATATATTTATCTATATGTACAATTCCCTCAACAGGAAATAATATATATTCATTGTTTTGTACATTCATGTATATGTATGTTCAGTACAGCATATGTATGTTCTTTAATGTGCATATATGTCCCTCTATCAATCTTCATTATGTCCATTCATGCAGCCAGGAAGGGCATATATATGTTCTGTGTGGCCTTCTTTCGCTGCTGTGGTAGTTTGTGCATATTATGAGTCATTCAGATTAAGATAGTTTGATTTAAGTTAAATCAAAGACAGTAGTAGAGAACTAAAGATAAGTTAAATACTGTATATAAGAAATTAGACAAAGTTATTTGTATAGAAGGCTTTACCCCCACCTGTATATAACAGTACTATATTCACTACACTAACAGGTTGTGAAAGGATTCCAAGTTTATCTGAACCTTCAGGAATTGTATTGTCATGTGTCCATTTATGCAAGGTTCAGGGTCTTGCTGGGCTTCCAAGTTGGTCAAACATCTTGCCACTTTCCAGCTCTTGATTGGGCTAAATCTGGCTCTTTGGATATTTTCCTTCAGGAACATTTGTCTCCTAAGGATCAGTGACAGTCTCCATTTGGGCTTCAAGTCGGTAGCCTTGTCTACTTGCTCAAGATTCTGTATTGGTGGTACACTCGGGCCATGATTTTCGTGATACAGTATAGTATTTCATTACACAAATTTAGAGTTACGCTGTAAGTAAATATTTCTTTGTGAGGGCTAAGGATGAATTAACTGGGATACTAACCTAACTTTACCAAATACTGTACAGTACTTCTATCCACAGTATCTTATTTATCTTTCACTCTTATAAAGTGAAAGATGGATGAAATACAGTCTTTAGCAATGTGAGTATCACTAAGTAATGTGCAAAAAGTTATGTGTATGATTATGAGATATATTGTGTCTCACCTTTCACAAAATTGCTTACACTTACTCCACCTCTTCTGCCTCTTGCTTCACTATCCCTCAACCTTCGTGTTTTTATACAAATAATCCATCCAGACTATTTTACCCTAACTATGGCGAGAAAACGTAATAACTGCTGCACTGTACAAAATGTTTACGCGAAAGAGGCTATGATTAACGCCAAATGTACTTGACAAATAATGAGTGTGGAAGTGAGTGTCTGCTAGCGGCCGACACCTCTGACAGTGGTGAATCTAGCTGATACAGTAAAGTGTGGTAAACAGATTGCTTATTAATATGAGAATTATAAATATAGCATTTACATTTTTATGTTGATATGTAATCTTTGCTCATATATTCACTTGAGTTGAGAAGTGTGTGTGTGTGTGTGTGTTTTGGTGGCATCTTCTGCTTATCAGCTGATCACTTCTACCCAGTCAAGATAAAATACAGTTAAAGAAATCTGGCTTAAGCTTTTTCTCCTTAAAGCGAAAAATAAAATAAATAGATTACTGTCCTTATTATCATGAGAATAAAAAATAATGTGTTGTTTTATGTGCTATATACAATTTCTTCAGTGAGTAATTTTGTGAGGTAGGCAGTATGACATTAGGTAGCAGTTAGTGATTGCACCATATGAAATATTATATGGGAGAAATAGAATGTATATGACTAGAAGAATAAAAATATAAAGGATCGTTACACATTTAGTAGTGCTTTTGTGGAGGACTGTCAGACATTTACTTTCAGCCTTACCTGGCCCAGTCACTTGACCAGTCTTTCAGTTTATTGATTCTGGACGAATGCCTACCAATCATTTTAGTAAACTTAAATCACATTGAAAGTGTTCGGACAAATAAAGAGTGGAAAATGTTTACGTTTTGAGTTCTCCGGAACCTAACATGTTTTTCCCATATTTATGTTGGGATTTGATTGTTGGGATTTTTGTTCCCTTTCCATAATTTCTTTGGCAAGGCCATTTGGAAAGATGCTATCAAGATAGTGGGCACGAGAACCTAGAGGAAAATTGGACGTGGATACTTAGTGGGCAAGGTCAGAAGAACCTAATGGGGGGAATGTGAATACTTGCTAAACCATAATGACTCTGGCTCAGGGTGCACATGATTAACCTCAGCTCAGAAAATGCTGTTATAATGTACAACAACATCTTGCATAAAAGTATATATAACTAACTTAAGTAGCGTGTTATTTTGCATAAATGCAAAATAACATGTAATATGTATGATTTATAATGCAATCACATCTAATCAATAGGATAATAAATCGTCCTATTGATTGGTCTTCCTCCAAAATAATCTTTCCTGCCTCTACACAGACGCCGTCTTGTTGACCCGACTATAATACACAACGTACCCAACATGAACTTGAGTCCTGGCTTTGTTGCTGTTGACTCTTCCCTTTCACAGTATATACTCAAATGCTCTAAACTTTCTAACAAATGTGACCTAACATAAGCTTACCCTTCCATTTATCTTTCTTTCTCTTTCCTTTTTTCTTTCTTTTTCTTTCCATTGTTTTCTCTTACAATCCCTTGCTTATTCCTATTACTATCCCCTTCTTATTCCTATTACTATCCCTTTCTTATTGGGTGGTTATACTGCAAATAGGAGCTGCCTCGTATGGGCTACTAGGCCTTCTGCAGTTACCTTTGTTCTTATGTTCTTATTCCTTTTACTATCACCTTTATTACACCTTACCTTTCATACCTTTTGCCTTGATTTTTCTTCCTATAAGAGTTTCTTCTCCTCACTCTCCTCTTCTCTCCTCTTCTCCTTTCTCTCCTCTTCTCTTGCCTATTTATTGCCTTCACCTCCTTTCCTCATCACAATTGACTTGAGAATAGTTCAGGATGGACCAAAAAGTCGCCGTTCCTTCACTTTCTAGTGTGTGGTTAGGTCAACATATTTCAGCCACGTTATTGTGACTCCTTGTCTGCATATTCAATATAAGACAAATAATGTGGATAATAAATCATTATGTTTGGCTCTTCTAGGATATGGGGAGGATGACTCTCGTACACCCTCTCCATCGCCATCCTCAGGTGTTGAATCGTCTTCTATGAAGGATTCTCCAATGCAGATTGAACTAGGGGGAGATACCACAAGTATAGGTTTGTACTTAAGAAAAATATTTGTTGGTTACATAAATATGTTTAATTATTACCTTTTCAGATTTTTATTTATACAGCAAGTTGATAGTAAGGAATATTTCAGTATTTTTACATGGGAACATGATGATAGGCAGTTTTTTGAATACTTTAGCTTGATTGATACATGTGTAATGATGTTTTTGCGATATTATCAAAATTAAGGTGGGAAAATGTCTTGTAAATCTGATGTGTATCAAACCATGAATGATATTGATTTTACAGTATGTGATGTAACGTGTCTACGAAGGATTTGTGCCTGTTGATATGAAATTTTGTTGCCCTTTTTTTATTATCTGTGTAATTTATTTATTTTAATTTTTTAGATACCTTGGAAGGAGGCTTATCATCTGATCAGCGTTCAGTAATGTCAGGTGGCAATGTTCGTGGTTGGTTGCCAGATGTTGCTGTTGTTTTATGGCGGCGAGTCTTGGGCCTTCTTGGCGACCCTAATGACGTAGCTTCTCCTGTTATTCATGCACAAATATTTAAATATCTCTTAGAGCTTATGGAGACATTGGTGAAGGTAGGGGGAAACCTGGCTTATGGTAACTTTTGCTAAACATTTTGTGAATATTGAGGTTATTTAATGTGATCTGGATTAAACATTTCTAATATTGGTGCTGAAAAGTATTGTTATACAAATAGTACTGTGCTATACCTGATACTCTCTTATACCCTTCTTTCTTATACTTGACAGTTACGTAACAATCAAAGTATATCTGTTGATAACCAAAGCAGTCCCGAGCCCCCAGAACTTATACCTCCACTTACACTAGTCGCTCCCTGGTGCTTCAGAGTAAGTTCACAGCTCTTGTTTTCATTTCAGTTTGCTTGGTTCTGTATTTTATTTATACTGATTATATATATATTATTTATTTATTTATTTACAAACTCATTACAAGCAGAAACAGTTGTTGGTGCACATTTTACCCCCTTTATATTTTGTCAACTGTTGTGCACAAAGAAAGTGTACATACTGTAATTACTGTAATCACTTTTAGTTAATAATAGGTTTCGTTGCTTTATGCCTTTACAGTGAAACCTCGGTATTCGGATTTAATTGAAAGGCATGACGAATGCCGAAAAGTGCGAATACCGAACAATTTTTTTCCCATAAGGAATAATGTAAATTGGATTAATGTGTTTCAGACCACAAAAATATATATATTGTCTGGGCTATTGAGTAGTCTTAATGTTTATGTCCACATAAGTGTGGATGACTGGTATGGATCATGGATCACTAATTCGTGGGGATGGATCACGTGGGCATGGATTACTAATTCCTGTGGGGCTTCAGTAGTAGTCAGGGAAAGTTGAAAATTCAGCTTGGTAGTAGTAGTTGCTTCTGGAAACTTCAGTGATACATGTAGTCTGTCCTTAATAAGACTACTCAATAGCCCAATCCATAGAGCCTCGGTCTTGCACGTGTGGGGTCTGCGGTTCGAGTCTCTTAGAGCTCAAGTGAATGAAATACTGTATATTTATACAATAATTCAATGAAATAAATGTTAACACACTGCACAGTTTACCAGCACTTAGGAGAGTTGATGGCATGTGTGGAAAGTGGTGAGGCAGAGGAGAGAGATGTTATACTTTGGCAGGGGTGTCCCATATCATTACTGTATCACAGATTTGTCAGTGATATTTTTCAAGAAAACTTTGCACTTTCCCCCATTTTGCACACATTTCTTTTATTAGAAAGCTAGATTTAGGCATACCAAACTCGGTAACAAAATTAAACAAACGGCCACCACATTCATATTTAGCTATGAATTCTTTGATCTCTGTTGTGGTTCTAATCATTTTTATTTTTGCTTGACTCTTATCACAAACTTTCTTAGGTAACATGGTGACTTATTTACACTAAGAATACCACAATATCCAAGAGAAAAGTGTAGTGGGTTGTGCACTGAATGACAGCTATGGCGAAACTAACACATCAGGAACGTGCGAACATGAACAGTGTCTGAATACCGAAGTGTGCGTATTGGTAGCGGTGCGAATACCAAGGTTCCTCTGTTTTAGAAATTTGTTCGCTCATTTATTTTAGGATAATTAATATTATTTTTCTCCACCAGGCTTTGACTTTGCCCCCCCAGTTTCATCGGGGCAAGACGCTGGCGTATCGATTACTATGCATGATGATTGTGCGGCAGCACGATCTACCGCCTCCCCGTGACATACTCACACATTTCTATAGAATATTACACCAGGGTCTAGTTGGTCAAGACCAGGTAAGGCTATTGCCTTTCATAGGTTGTTTGGATCAGCCCTTCATGGTCATTTGTAACCATTTTAAATATTTGTAGAAATTTTAAAATCCTGTTATGTAATATCTGAGCTAAAGAATGAAATTGGTTACAAAAATCTTGGTGTTCTCTTGGGTATAAATTTAACTTGCAATTCTTCCTTCTTGCAGGAAGTTATTAGTACTCTGGTGGCAGAGTGTGGGCCGAGCTTCTTTTCCCTAGGTCTGCCAGGTGCTACAATGCTCACTCTTGATTTCATCTTTGCCACCAACACTGTTATCACATCTCCTGATACCAAAGTTGTAAGCATTTTGAATTTTTTTTTGTGACTTGCCAAGGGTTGAGTATATATTGTTAAAGATATGGTATTTCTCAAGATAGATCAATTGGTTTAGGTAGAATTGCTGGAATTAAACTTGTATGCAAATAATATCCACAAGAGCGTAAATTCCAGAAAGCATCGTCTTGCATACAAAAGTGGAACAGTAATGTGGCGCTTGTAGTACACACAACACTTGCGGCTTAATAGATTCATTACAAGGCTTGGTACATAAAGTGTTCATTACATACTACTGCAATTTAATCTTGTGTAGTAACTAAATTTAAATTTAAAATTAGGGAATTAATTTCAAAGTATTTTGTGGAACATGGATTTGAATATTATAGAGAAATGTCATGAAATATTCATGGTAGTAAAGTAAGATGCTTAAATATTAACCTTAGATCATTTGTTTGCCTACTGCACCAGAACAAAAGGTGATTAAGGGATGTTAATATATTGCAATACAGTGCAACATTGATTCAATGAGCCTCGCTTTGGCAAATCTCTGGTTGCAATTCACACTTTGCTGGTTGGAGTACTTTGCCAAACAGGTGTTCATTGTAGTGTGTGCTGTGCAGAGTTGTTTATTATTAGTGGCTAGTGTATTAGTGGCTTTATGCATAGTATATACTAGCTCTAGAAATCCAACATTCTGCTTGTAACTCATTTTTGTATGTACAGTATATATACTTTTATCTAAATAAAGTATTTATTATTATTATGTTTAAGATGCGGGGCTGAGTTCACATACCTGTGGAGAAGTTAGTGGGCCTGGTTCCATTACACAATTTTTGGGTCATGGTCCCTCCCTTTAAAATGAGATTTAAGCAGCTGGATCCTGAAAAATACTGGCAATAAAGGAGAAGTCTCTCTCTTTCTACATTCAGTTTCTTCTGATAGTTGTTCATTCTATGAACAGTTAAAAATTAAAGTTTGTGTGTAAAATTTGTCCATAGTGTGGGAAATATTATGGTATTGGTTGGATGAAATGAAATATTTCTCACGTTCTACGGGCTGATGTCACTGAACGAAATTTTAATTTCAACCTGTCATATGAAGAAAAAACAACCAAGAGAATCTGTCTGTAAAGAGATTGAACCACATCTAGAAAATTTCCCACACCCAAGTCTCGAAATCTAATTTTCAAAAGGAAATGTGAACAAAAACCTCTGCAATCAGAAATAAAAAAAAAGAAGCAGAGAATTATTTGGCTTTAAATATGCTCAGTGGCTTTCCCAAGGCTCCAACTATTTTGTGTAATGTTGCCTTCATCTGTGAACTCGATCCCAATATCCTGAGCAAATCCATACATTCCCCCACTTCTTGTTTGTCGAATTGGCTGAGTAAATCACTCATGGAAAGTGTGTGTTTCAACCAGATAATTCATCGAATTAAGATTTGTTGAATCGAGGTTCCACTGTATGTGGAATTTGGTATATATTTTTTATTATTTTTTAATGTTTTTAATTTCTATTTCCAAAGTAGAGACTAAGAATAATTATTAAATTTTCAAGTATATTAAGAATTACACCTTGTAATGACCCAGTGCTGAGAGAATTGTGTGCTCCAAGTATAGAAACACCAAATTGAAAAAGCTTTATTTGTAGATAAAATTTAGCCTGCAATAAAGGTTTTATCTGCAAATACAGTGTTTCAGTGTGGTGCTTTTCTACATCATTGGCAGCAGTTTCTGCTCTGTTGAGCTAACGTCAACACACACATGCCCAGAGCTAGTGTTGACACTGACATACAGCTATTTCCTTTATTTTTCCTTTTTTTCCACTGGAGTATCCTGTTCAGCTGGAGACTTTAGTGAGTATGACCGGCACTTGGCTTGACCAGCACACACATTGGAAAATTACACGAGCCGATTGCTTTAAATTTTTGTTTTCCTATTATGCAACATTCTTATGTTGTTGTTATATCATTGTTATTATTTTCTGAGCCATCCCATTCATTTGGTAGTTGTGTGTCTAGTAATTACGTTTAGTTGCTGTAGGCTGGAATGTCACTTTTCTGCACACTTTTCTGTTGCAGTTCAGGTTTTGCTTTCACTTGTGTATCAGTTTACAGACTACTTTTTTGGCATTAGCCATTCATTTATGAAATGTTTGAATTGTTAAAGTATCTATGTTTTTGTCACCAACATGTTTGTTAAAGGGCATTTGACAATTTTCTTTTTTCTGTGGAGAGCCCCTCCAGCTCCCCAGAGCTTACCGGGCTCGTATGTATATATTAGACTGTGGCATCAGTCAGTTCAATGGAGTTCTAACCTACCGGGGACCACGAGCCAGAACCTATCCCCCTCAGATCCAGATTCCCTTAAAAAAGCTCTTCCCCAAAATAATGAGAAGCAATGGCCTGTAGAAACCCTCATGTGGTTGGAAGCATTCTATGTCTGCCATCTACTGGGTTAGGCACCTAGAAAGGTAGGCATCCCAAAATAAACTACAACTGGTTAACAATTGCGACCGAAAGCCGAACTAGCAAGCATTTACCATGATTATGGTTAATTTTGATTTTGAGCAAGTTTGAAAAAAGGTTACTTACCTGAAACCTTGGCATTGATGACAGTTTGTTGACAAACAGTCAGTCAGTCAATTTGAGTAGGTGACGGTCGACTGGCAAGCTGGTGGTTAATAATTCTGGCATTTGTTCATCCAACAAATATATAAAGATTGTCCTGTATGATTGTTATTTATTGCAAAGAGAGAAAAATGTTTGTGTGTTTGTCTTCAATAAGATCCCTTCCATTTGTTCTATCAGACTGTTAACTGTGTGTTTATGCTGTGGAATTCAATTTTGACACTTCTCTTTACAGCAAACTCCTAGACTGGAGGCCCTGAGTCTTCTAGGGTCCTTGCTGCCTCTGTCTTCACTGTACCCGTCCATGCCAGTTCTCCAGCCTTCGGTGGCGGACCTGGCTCTTATGAATTGTTCTGATGTCAAGGTGTGTACCCAATGCAATGTGATTACAACTCGGTGTTAGTTCTATTATACGTTTTAAGTTTAAGAATCAATAATCTGTTGTGTTCCTTTCCCCCATTTCTCTTTATTATGTATTTTTAAATATTTATAATCCACTGAAATTAAAAGATTAATAATTATTGTTTTATAAAGCACTGCATAACAATTTTTCATTTGCATGTAATTAATTATTTGAAAAACTTCAAAGCCCTTGGGACATAGAGGTGCTTGTATGGGTCACCCCTAAAGATCGAGAACATGAATGAGTGTCAATAATAGTGCTTGTAATGCTGTGTAATTTGAAATGAAAATTTAAAGTACAGTAAAATAACGAGAAGCTATCCTTGGAGCTCTCGTCGTACATGGTCTGTCTAGAGAAAGTCTCCTTGTAGCTCTTCCAAACAACTATCTATCTCCAGAAGTTCTCCTGTAAGGAATCCTTCCCAGAAAACCCCCACACCCCCAAGAGAAGCCCTCCCCAGAGAAGCTTTTCCAAAGAGCAACCATCCCAAATAAAGCCCTCCGCAGAGAAATCTTCCCAGGAGACGCCCTCTCAAAAGAAGCCCTTTTTAGAAAAGTGTTACAAGAAAAGAACTTGCTGAGAAGCCCTCACCAGAGAATCCATCACCAGAGAAGTCTTCCCTTGAGAAGCCCTTCCCTGACAAACCCTCACTAGAGAAGCCTTCTCCTGAGAAGTCCTTCCCTAAGAAGCCCTCCCCAAAGAAGCTGTCATCAGAAAAGCTCATATTAAGGAACCAATCTTGAATGTTAGATGATATCACTTGGCTAATGTATTTTAACTTCATTTTTTTTCACTCAGGATCATTTAGTGAATGTATTGCTGAAGAGTGGTAAACGAGATGGGTGGTGGCGGACGAGGTCACTGGCGCTGAGTACCCTGGCTATTTACCTCTACCACGAACTTGCCCACCAAACATTCCATACCAAAGTAAACGAGGCAATCAATGTTCTGCTGGCATCGCTGAAGGTATGTCCCGGTCTCGTTGATGTTCGTTTTAGTTGAAATAGTTTTTATGTGGCAGCATTTTGATTAGTCACTTGTGTTTTGTAGCTCACAGAGTGTGTTATTATTATTGGAATGTAGATTACTTACCTTACTAATGTAACCAAAAATAACTCTTGATTATATATTTGTTTTGCTTAATAGTGGTGCTTGAAATGATAAGGATATTTATATTTTGACTGAAATTCCACAATTGCATGACATGACAAGTTTTTGTAACCAACTTTGCATGGATAATTCTGTAAGATTGATGCTTATAGCATTTGTATTGCTTCACAATGAAGTTTTTCTGCAGTGTTGATTTGATATAGGTTGCTCTTTGATTGATTTGAACTTAACGTCCATTAGTAAATGCTAACTTTATTTTTATGTAAAAATGTGTAGCTAATGTTAGTAAAACTGGGATTTATTTATTTATATTTTGTTGGAGTTAAAACTCTCAGTATCCTTCTTGTTTGATACATGTTACAGGGCTTTTTCATTATTTATGGGCCTAACTTTTATAAATTTAAATGTGTTAGTTGTTAAGCTTTCTTCTCTTTTTAAGACATTAAATATGAAAGTACCTGTATGGAAATTTAAAAGCTTTTTTCTGGAGGGGCCGAATAGTAGCTTCCTGTAACTAGCTCCACTGAAGTAGCTCCACATCTGTTAGTCACATTAGCAAATGCAAGCTAGTCGTTAAAACCCTACCAGAGACCAGAGGATAAAACTTTGTCCACTCCATGAGGCACATGGAGCAAGGGCTCATGATCACCCTCCCTGAAGAATCAGACAGACAACTGAATGATTTACAGAAACTTAGGTTTACAGAAAATAGACAAATGTAGCAAGTGACTTGGCAAATGATCCACCCAGTAGTTAGGTCATACATCATCCCCTAGCAACAGCTAACCACCACCAGGTGGCAGCACCACAAAACTGCTGACACACTCTGTGTCAACACTCCTCAGTTCTTCAGCTAATGTCAGACATGTTTGACCACTCCATGAGTTGCTAACACTTTGGGTCCTGGATTTTCTAGATAAGAGTTGGCTATCCTTTGGATTATGTCCTGTGGGGGCCCATTTGCTTGTGTGTCAATTTATTCTTTAGTATTTGCTTCACTTGCATGTGTTTACAAGCCTCACTTTATGTGTGGACTTTGGAAAATGTTCATCTTGAGCTGCAGGTACTTATGGCTGCCCTTCCCTACGTGCTCACTGTTGTTGTCCCTGCTCTGGTCTGGAAAAGCTACGTTCCTGGTGGGCTTGGGAATTTGTTCCATAGAAGCTGGCCTCCTTTGGAGGAGTACCTCATGCTGCATAGTGTAAAAGTCTTTGACTCCCTTGTGAGGCTCTAAGAATGGGGGCATTCTGTGGTTATTCATTAAGATGTGCACAAGGGTTCACATCCTTGTAAATATGGCATGCCGCTCATGCCCTTCACATCTGTGTTTCCTTTGTGCTGCGTTCAGTGTCACTTCATCCGGCGAGCATCCCCAGTGCCTGGGTGTTCTGCTTGATTGTTACCTTCAGGCACTGGTAAACCATGTGGTTCTTTGGTGTGGATTGTAATATATCTGCCCACTGAGTCTGCACTTGCTTCTTGTGAGTTTGAGGAATGTTCATTGGTTTTGCTCCATGCTGTTTGTACTGTCTCCGCTATTCCACCTGTTGAGTGGATATTAACCTCTATCCCAAGGCCTGTGAAGTTTGGGTTCACTGGGTCTCTCTTATCTAGAGGCTTCGTTTACTGATTTTCTTTATTTTATTTTTGAAGTGAGGCTTCACAGGCAGCAGCTCCTTCAGGATTGTTTATCGGTTTTTGTTGTTTGCAGCTTGGCTGCCCTGGAGTCTGCCCTTTTTAGTTTTATAAGGATTTGGAGTGGCTTGTAATCTCTACTGGTTCTGTTACAAGAACCAAAAGGGAGGAGGGATCAATAGTCCCTCCTCTCTTCACCGTGTTCTCTAGCATGGTACAACTGACCTCTTGTACAGTACTCCCCCTATCCCTTGCTCTGGGTTCAGGAACATCTGATGGGTTTGAATTCTAGGTTACAGTTAGCTTTGGGTGTATCTTGGTCTTCTCTGGGGATTGCCCCTTACACATTGGCTACAGAAACAATTGAATCATTGCTTTCCACTGGGAATCCATAGCCATTTGTTTCACTGGGGAATGTATTTAGCTTGGTTCCTTTTAGAGTGTGGCAATGCCTTCCTGTCTGTTCTGGCATCAGGCATGGAGCTTGGCTTTGCCACAAGGTGTGTATTTCTGTGACCTGTTAGTGTACAGTACTTTTATGCGAAATTCAGGTGTTTTCCCTCATCCCCCCTTTCTGCACTGTTCAACCCAGTCTGTTCTTTTTTGGTTCCTCCTTAATGTTCGGGCTCTCACTTCCTTGTTTGACCCGACTTCTTTTAATTATGGTTTGGCTTCACCCTTTAAGTAGCTGTTATGAGGTCTGCTTCATCCTGGCTTGCAAGAATCTTGTTCTTTTTCTTGGGGTCTTACCTTGCTTTTGCCGTACCCATACCCATTTTATCATTCTTTTTTTTATCATTCTTTTATCATTCAGGTTATTTTGGACTGTGCCCTGTTTGCACTACTGGAGTCTTACTGGTTTGTTTCAGTCTTGCCTTAAGTTGTGGGCATCTGGCAGCTCTTTGTGCAGTTTTTTTTTTTTTTTTTTTTTTTTTTCTCCTTCTTCTTCTTCTTCTTCTTCTTCTGGAGACCCAGCTCCAGAGGTTCACAGATTCAATGTTTACTTAGCTTTTGTTTTCTGCATTTGGGCTGTGGATGGTCTGTTCCAAGGCAGCCTGGATGTCATGGCTTTGGTGCCCTTGTTGTGGCTGTGTTATCCACGTTTCTAAGTTCTGGACATCCAGGTTCGGGTTTCCGAGGCTTTGCCCGAGGGGCTCGTTCCCCTCCTTTGGGAGGTTGTTGTGGACTTCTCTTTGGTTCATCTAGAGTGCTGGTGTGCTGTGCTGCCCATGTCATCTTTTGGCTCAGTCTATTTCCTTTTCTCTCTGCCACCTATGCTTTGTTCCCTCTTTTTCCTTGAGATGGCTGTCTGATTCTTTCAGCTGTGGCGGTTTCCTTTTGCTCCTCATTAGGGTTACCTTTCAGCTGTTTTGGTTGTAGTGGGGGGTTTCTTTTCTCTCTCCTCTCCAGTTCATCTGTTGCTCCAGGTTTTGTCACTTGGTTTTTCTTAGGTTCCGGGCTGAGAATTGTTGACATAGAGAGCTGGTAGCTCTTGTGGCGCTGCCAACTGATATTGATCAACTTTTACTTGGGGTTGATGATCTAACTACTGGGTAGATTGTTTGCAGAGTCATTTGCTGCATTGTTTACTGAATGTGAACCTTGCAATTGTCTGTTTTGCTTCAATTCTTTACTGGGGGCTTGATTCTTTGGTGAGGGTGATTACAGATCCCAAGCTCCCTATGCTTTTTTGTGTAGACCAGGATCTGGCGTCTGATCTTGAGTAAGCTTTTAAGGACTTGCAACGACTGATGTGACTTATAAGTGTGGAGCTATCTCAGTTTGGCTAGCTACAGGGAGCTACTGAGGCCTCCCCAGAAAAAGGCATTTCATTATTTACAACTCTTTTTATTTTCTAAATAAGCTTGTTGCTACACATTTGCACATCCATCCTTTGGTAATAAACGCAGTTACCCTGCATGATGAGACTGACAAGTATTTTGCATTCTAGCAAGCAGTATCTTCACAGCACCCAGCCAAGCATCTGGCCCAGAGTACTGAGGTACCTTCTGCTGTGTGTCTGTCGATGTTGTATGGGTGAAGGTGATCATGTGTTACGGAAGATTATAATGACAGTGGTTGATAATGAACAAATTGATTTGATTTTCATGGAAGACTTGGTGCAATGTTTTGCAGTTGGAAATAGTGTTCAGTCTTTAACTGGATGGGGTAGATTTGACTGTATTGCACTCAGCAATATAAAATATTACATTGACTTACTTACTTTATTTGAATGGAATAAATTGTATAAGTTTGACACTAAACATCTCCATGTTAGGGGGTTTGTATTGAACATGGAACTAGCATTTATTCTTTAAAGATTCTCAGCTAAAGTCAAATATCTTTTCACTTTCTAAATACACACTGATTAGGTACTGTATATAGTGTTCAGCATTTCATACGGATGCATACAATGTATAGAATTTATAATGATTGTATTTTCGCAAAGTCTGCAAGCTGGCTGCAGGGGTATAAGATGACTGAAAGTTTTCAGCTGTCATCACTTGTCCCTGCATTTCAGCCCACTGATTTGTGTAAAGGAGACAAAAGTATAAAGCAAGTAAATAATTGTATGTTCAAGTCAGGGATGCTGGATTTAACTGCAACCAAGAACACTTTAAAACTATAAACTAGTGCTAGGGATGCCTCAGAACTATGAATTAGTGCCAAGAATACCTCAAAACTATGAATTAGTGCCAGGAATACCTGGCACTAATAGTATACAGAATAGAATACAAATAGAATACAGCTAGAATTGGACAAGTTTTACCATTTTGAATTTAGGGTGAATGCCATTTCTCTTAGTGCAACCAGGAATAAACTTTGAATTAGTGCCAAGCCATGGAATCAAGCCATGGAATATTCATGGCATCCTTCCTTTGGTAATAAACGCAGTTACCCTGCATCTTTTGAAGACTTGAGCACCACCACTACTTTACTTGAAATTTCATAATTTGAAAATTTATGAAGGTTTATAAATGTGGCAATACAATACAGTATTGTACTTTTTTATTAATGATTATATTTTGAAAATGATTTGTAATTATTTGTCATAAAATAGTAAGTAGCCATCTGCTTTTCCAAATGAGAGTTTTACTCATGTTTATGATAATCTTCCGTAACGTTGACTTAGGTATTAACTTAATATCCTGCAATGCATTTTATAATCTTAAGGAACCGTGACATTCAATTACTAATACCGAATGTAGGAAATCAAAATAAAGTTTAGTTTCTAAGTATAACTTGAGGAATTTTAATCAGGCTTCCATACAAACAGATAATTAATGATCTTAGATTTTAGCTTTACATAGGAAATGAAATACAGAATAGTAATAGTATTGTTTTCTTATTAAACACTCAGCTTTGTCATTCAATTTCTTCCTAAGGTCAATAATCTCTGGATTGGTACAGCAGAGATTTCTTTTTCGAACTTTCCCTACCAGGTCATACCTATGCTTAGGAGACGCTGGAGAATACTTGATCCATCCTAAAATCACTGCTTGAAAAGTGCATCCCAAAAACTAAAAGATCTTCCAAATACTAATTGGCAAGCCAAGGAGTGCTGATTAGCATTCAAGTAATAGCCAAATTTCCCCACCTTACTGCAACACCTAACTGTCACCAGGCAGCAGCATCTGATGTAAACGCAGACTCCTGACTTGAACAACCTAAGAATTTAACTGGCTGACCAATGACCCATGACCAATGAACTATTCCATATGACGAGAGATTGATCAAGCTAAATTTACATTCTCTAGAAAGGTGAAAAAAGTTAGGGATGACATGATTAAGTGTACAATTGGATGAATAGGCATAACAAAGGGGTTATTATTAATATGGTATTAAATATACTGTATCAACTCAAAATAAAACAGAACAGTGGATATAAATTAGATTAGTTTAGATTTAGGAAAGACCTGGATCATTACTTGTTTGGAAACAGGGTTGTTGATTTACTGAACAGATTGCCAGGTAACATAATAGAGATGTGATCACTCGATTGTTTCCAGCTTAGGTGAGACAAACATGAACGAATTTGGGTGGATATCAATAGGAGCTGCAACATAGGGGCCAGTGACCCTTCTGCAGTTTCCTTAATTCTTATGTTCTTATATATTAATTTGTTGACTAGAGATCATGTCAATTAGCTAGCACCATTAGGGTGAGTTATAGAGTAATGCATTCTTTTGATATTCACTTATATGATAATGAATTACAACACCACACAGGATTGTAAGTATCTTAGCTACTAATTTGCAAGTAATTATCACAATCAGTGACAACTTTAAGCATGTGAGAGATAGTGTTTAATTTAAAAAGTTGATTAGTAATTTTTATCTTTGGTTTTACTGATTTTATAGTCACTTTCAGGTTAGATATCAGGTAAAGTACAACCAATCATGGGATCCTCTACTGCAAGTTTCTGAGATGAGACACACTTGCACTTTTTGTCTCATTACTGGTTTAAGTGAAATTCTGCATTTGAAATTCTTAAGTGAAATTAGTTAATTGGAAGAATTGAGTGGGTTTTGTTTTTAATATGCTCTCTGGCAGTCAGTCTGGGCTGGGTTAGGAATCCTGCTGTACTGATGCAAATTATTAACCTACTGTGACTAAGCATAACCATATCTTGGGACCAGAAGATCCTTTGTCTTAGCAAACATCTATGTGACTTGCTCAGAAAATTCTTTTAATTTTACTCAGTGCTTGATATTAATTTATCAGTGGTTTTCAACTGACTGTCCATGGACAAGTGGTGCTCTATTAAGTGTGTGTTCATTTCCTGGTTGTTCTAGTGTTTAGAGCAGACTAGGAACATATACACGCTGAGCCTCCATGGAACACATACACTAGAGAAAATATCACTTGCTCATGGACCTCTGCTTGAGAACCAATGATTTACATCATTGCAGCCAGAAGGTAGCAATTTACTCAACTTTCATTAGTGTTACTATTGTAAGTATGTTCTGTGTTGTGCTGCTTGTGTCTTTGGCTTTCATTTAGTTCAGCTTATTTTCAGTATGTTTTAGTTTACAAATGTGCTGGTAGTACTTTGGTACAGGATAATAAAATTATTCAGATGAATATGTGCATACTATGCTCCTGTACTCTGTACTTTCGATTGTGATATGAAAGTTAGAAGAGAACTTTGTTCCGTAATCACTACAATGTCAGTGTTGGGCAATAGACAAAGTGACTTCTAATGCCCACTGAAGCACTACTGTGAGGGGATGTAAAAAGGTTACCTTCTTTCTTACTGATGGCCCTGATTTTGCCAAACGATGCAGCACCACATTGTGGTCTGATGCATTTTCTCCATATCTACATTACCTTTTCTCTATTTACTGCTTTCCTATTTTTAGCCTTCCCTCCACATATTTGCACTTTTTGTTTTCAACTTTGTTTTGTTTAATATCCTATTTGTAAATGCTTGCAGAGTTAATCTTTCTTTGTTTTGTTATATACTCGTTGTTAATTCTTCCCAAATATATCTTTGCTTTTATTATCCAGCATGAGGAATTCTCTGGCCAACAGTAAAATGTATGGATAGATATTGATGCAGGTAGTGTTTCATTGCAATAACATTACAATGTTTCTGAAAAACTAGTGTCTTATCTATTATCAATCAAGCAACCTCGTCCGTGCAGCCCTCCCCTCTCTGCGCTGGCTGCCCAAGCACTCCAACTTGTTAGCTACTGTGGTCTGGAATATGAAGATTAGAACCCAACTGCTTGATTCTACTCGACTTTGTGAAAGAACCAACTAGCATCACAATTCCCACTTATATTTAACTCCCTCTCACACTCAGGAATAGCAATAGCATGTCCAAATCATCCCAAATACTTTCCATTCACCTGGGCTGTATGGGTCTCGAACCTTGGACCCCATGCATGTGAGGCCGAAGCTCTATCAACTGGGCGATGAGCTTAGTAGCCTTCCATGAGTCGATAAGAGCTTCAGCCTTACACATGTGGGGTCCACGGTTCGAGACCCATACAGCCCAGGTGAATGGAAAGTATTTGGGATGATTTGGACATGCTATTGCTGTGCCTGAGTGTGAGAGGGAGTTAAATATAATTGTGAATTGTGATACCGGAGCCGGTCGGCTGAGCGGACAGCACGCTGGACTTGTGATCCTGTGGTCCCGGGTTCGATCCCGGGCGCCGGCGAGAAACAATAGGCAGAGTTTCTTTCACCCTATGCCCCAGTTACCTAGCAGTAAAATAGGTACCTGGGTGTTAGTCAGCTGTCACGGGCTGCTTCCTGGGGGTGGAGGGTCGAGGACCGGGCCGCGGGGACACTAAAAAAAAGCCCCGAAATCATCTCAAGATAACCTCAAGATACTAGTTGGTTCTTTAAACCAACTAGTATCACAGTTTATTTATTCTTTTAGTAAATGAACTAAATTTCACAGAGTCGAGTAGAATCAAGCAGTTGGGTTCTAATCTTCATATCTTTTCAGAGAGCTATAGCCTCATGCAGCCTGCTGCATCTTGGCTAGAGTTCACATTACATTGCTCTTAAAATGTATAGACTTGCAGGTAATTGAAGATTACAGAATAATTTACATAAATTAATTTTCTCATGGAAAAGAGTTTTTAAAACAAAGTATATAAAAAAATCTTAATACTGTTTTCCTTAGAAGGCCTGTTGTGTTGTGTTATCTTTGACTGCAAGCTTATTAATAATTGCATGCATTTCAATTAGTTACTTTTTATTAGCACCATTGGTTTGTTTTCTCTTGTACTCGCTCGAAGGATAAGTCACCATGATGAATATTAGAGTGAACTGCAGCTTTCCGGCGAGAGCCCCAAAGTGGCTTCTTGAAGCTGTCTCACTGATTTTGCTCCATTCTAATGGGTCACATCAGTCACCGGAGTCTTGGCTTACAGAGGACCAAAGATAGAGGGGGGGCCCAGGTTCTGGTGCTGGTCTCTAGTAGGCCAGACAGAACTCAGTAAGGTAGACACACACGAAATCACAATAGTGTGATATATCAAATGAACAAATCCACATGGGCCGTGATTCAAACCACGAGTTTGAACCCTCGTCACGGCCCTTGTGGATTTGTTCAGCAAGGTAGCTTTACAGTAGCTTCATCAGGGCTCTACCAGAAAGAGGCATTTCATTATATTCAATGCTGTTTTTTTTTTTTATCCAAGTGTTTATTGGAAGACTCTGGTTTAATAGTTCATCCTACCTTGTTGTCTTGCACCACATGATTTTATCCATTAATTTTATTACTCCTCAACCAGATATATTGAAGTTTATTTGCACTTTCACTTATCTCACTTGCTTCATTTCATTTTCATTCTTTTTGCAGTTTTGCTACACTGATTTTATATGAACCGAAGCATATTTGTTTGCACTTTGAGTGATTACTGCATTTGTTGTTTTATATATGCTTGCATCCTTTCCTAAGACATTAGCAGCACAAACATCTTATTTTTAGTTTGGGTTGAGCATAAAAGTTTGACCTATTTATGTTGTATGTAATAAGTTTGGCATATTTATTTTATATGCAAGTAATGAATATTTATGAAGTTTTTCATCCCTTCAGATTGGAAGATTGGTTGGCCAAGTTGCAGCTGATCTTCTCCTTTTGTTGTGCGACCATGCTGAGGCCTTCCTCACCCACTACCCTGATATTCCCACCAGAATTATACAGGTGAATGTTTATGTGTTACTTAAATTGCAATATGTTGTTATAAACAAATCCACAAGGGCCGTGATGAGGATTCGAACCTGCGTCTGGGAGCATCCCAGACACTTCCTTAATCGACTGAGCTATGACAGGGTTAAAAAGGGTTGAAACCGAAGTTCAACTGTTCTACTACAAAGTTCTAAGTTCTACTTTGTTCATTTTATGCATCACGTTAGTGTGATCTCTGTGTGTGATGTTGTTATATATTTTGTTTGTTATATTAAGCACTTATGTTAAATACACGAGTGTTATACAGTGACAAATTATACAGTAATTATTTTCTGTCATTGGTAGATAAATACCTTTGTAAGTTATAAAGCTTGATTGACTGCAATAGCCTGTGCATTGTGCACCTCTAAAATTACTATTCATAACGTGTCCTGTTCATATCATGAGATATTCTGGCATGGTGATACCTTCCCTGATTGCTTTCATGCAGTCAAACTATGCTGTATCTAGTTGTCATAAGTACATAATTCTTTAATTTGAGAGTAAATCATTATATTATAAAAGTGTGAATTTTATGAAGTACTGTACTGTATATCCAACATAGATTGCTGGAAATAAAGTATGATTTTATTGTAATGACTGGTATATAAAGTCTAGCTTTTGTTGTTAATGTAAATGTTTCTCCTAGTTAAAATACCAGTTTGTTTTATTCGTATTAATTTTTATGTTTCATTTGTATTTGATAATACAGTATGTATTAATAAATGAGTATGATTGTGTGTGTAAAGTTTTCCCGAGTATTTTCGTGAGAGTAGTGTCCCTGTATTCCACTAGGGGAGAGAGGGCGGAGACTCCACACACAATGGTTGTGTGGTGTCTGCTCGTGAGGTACTCGCCTCACTGTGTAATGTTATTGACCTCCATTTATATCCGAGTGATGGGAACTGTAATCGTTAATCTGGTGATTGAGAGATTTTTCCTTGTTAGTGTATTATCCCTTTTCCTGTGTTTAAATAAATGTAATGCCTGCACTTTGTTTCTTGAGTCCAGCCAATGCAAAAATATGGTACCAGTCCCACGTGGTCATTCTCGTGTTTGAAGTGTTTATAAATGCATATTGGTTCTACATCTCTGGTTTAAAGTAACATATCTATAGTGTAAATAAGAAAATAAGGACGGGTTTCTTGAGTTCATAATCTAGGGTATGGCTTACAACTTCCGTGTCCTTACAGTATTTATATACTGTAATTAAAAAAATATATATATAATATGTATGTATGTATGGATATGTATACAGTATATATTTTTTCATGTTATCACAAATTTTCCAGGTACTGTGCCAAACCCTTGGGGCGATTGGAACAGACATGAGCCTCACCACCTGTTCTGAGGGAAAACATCTTGTGCTTTCGTCCCTGTTTTGTCTGGCTGAGTGGGTCATGCGCATGCCACAACAAGTTCTCATTAAACCGACTCAAGACAAGCAACCCCTACTGCAACATGTGTTTCAGGTACTTGACTTTTTTGGAATTTAAGAAATCAAGGGTAATTCATGTTTAATGTCTTTGAAGTTGAATCATAAATTGTAAGATCACCTAGTTAAATGTTAGGGAAAAGGTATCAGATTCTGATTCGACACGAATCACGGAATTTGATTTCATGCATGCACCGCAAAAATATATGGACTTTAGATAGTTACATTATTAATGTTGCAAGTATTTTGTAATAGGTGTCAAAGAACACAGAAAAATATTAGTGCATCGTAATACTTATAATTATTGTGTGATGATTGGGTGGAAAGCTGGAAGTGCTGCTGACCTTTGTGGAAATTCAAAATTTGTATCATCTTTATTTACGTTTGAAATTTTTGAAAATTAGAATACATATAGCAGTTAAATGAAGCGATTGGTATACACTTGCTTGGCAATCGCACAGTATTAGTGAGGGGCAAGTTGCACAGGAAGACTCGGCCCTCAATATGCTACAAAATTAAACATTTATGATTACTCTATAATCACAAACGACATAAATATTTTATGGAATGCTGTAGCTCCGTTGACCACTTCTATAGTTTCTAACCAAGGTTGTATAGCATAAAATAAAAGAGGCGAGGGAAATAAAGTTGATTGAGAAACCATATTCCTAAATTCTTCCCTATAAATGGCATAATTAACCTCAGAGTCAGGGCCTTTGCCTGCAGCACTATAGGATTGCTTGAAAGCCATGGAGCTTGCACAGCATGCTGGCGGAGAGCAGCGGCATGAAGGAAGTAGTTCAATCTCTTCAGGCAAAGAAGGGCCATGAGACAGCTCAATATTACTCCCAAGGACAAGACAGTGATGTATAACTATCCAAACTAATGCCATGGCTGGCATTAATTTTAGATAATTTTGCAGAATGGAAGCTTGCTTTTTAAATTTAAAATATTTACTTTTAATAGCAAAACTGACAACAAAAATAGTTTTAAAAGGAGTATTATATGACTGATAACTTTTGCTTCTCTGCATCACATAAAATGGGCTTATCTTTTCCCAGGTGCTGCATGTTGTTGTCAGTGGGAAGAAAGGCAGTTATATCAGATCACCAATCCTAGAAGTGGTGGATTTTGATGGCTATGTGCGAGAAGACAACAGCAGGATGGGCAACATGGATTCCAGCAGTAGAGGAGACTCACTCAAGAGGTCATCCTTCCCACCGACCTGCACCTCCACCATCAAATTGGCGGCAAAATCAGTATGTCTCTATTACTCATTGAAATTCTGCACAAGTTTCAGTGGTGTATATTTGAACATCAGAAACAAAACGTGCCTATTTACCAAGCCTATTTTTTAATATTACATTTATCTATTTTGTCCTGATGAGCTGGTGGTAGTTCCCTGCTGTGCTCTGTCGTTGACTGCACTTTTGGACTACCCTTGTTATGATCTTGCCGAGTGTAGTGATGAGGTCAAGTGTATCTAATTGTAATTTTGATGTTTCCTAGTTATTATGCTCAGATGCTCCCTAAGACAATATCTGGTTCTATAAGCATGTCTTACGAGGACCAAAAAAAAAAAAATGGACAAAATGACATTTTTCATTGGCACCATAATGATCTTATCAAAAGTCCTTGTTGGGACTTGGGGCTTGGGAGGCACTGAAGAAAATCTCTACTAGCCCAGAGTGACTACTGAAAGTTAACTCATAAATACTGGAAGCCTTTCCAAGCCCTACTTGTGTCACAAGGACCACCAAGTAGCATTCTCCTAACCTGCCAGTTTGTCCTGATGGCTGCTAACCCCTGAATACTGCCAGATGGCAGCACCCAGGTCAACTTCTGGCCCTATGTCTTGATTCCCTTCACCTTCCTGAGTGATCCCCCATGATGGCTGAGCAGGCTCAAGAATGGATTGAGTTACGTGACTTGTCTTCATCTCTAGTAACTCGGCTTTCGCTGTGTTGTGGGCTCATGTTTTTCTCATTACAGTACTTGCTAGTTTCAGATATTTAGTATTTGAAACTTTTTTATTTTTCATGTGTGTCTGCATCATGGCTTCACTAGTCAGTAAACCAGAGTTTACTTTATTGTTCCGGTTTGATTCATGCTTCAGCAATTGGATCATCCTCTTGAAGTTCAAACTGTATTCATGGTTTCCTTGGCATTTTGCTCCAGGTCTATACATTTGTGATGGGCATGGGTTGGGATGGAGAATGATGTTGTGGTGTCTGCCATCTGGTGGTGGTTAGTACAGGAGTAGTGCACTAGTTACTGCTAGGTAGTTAGCTAGGGTAATATCTGTTGTTATTTTTTGCAGGGGGAAAGTTTTCTGAATCTAAATTAAGGATTGGATTAAAAACATTTTCAGTTTAGCACTTTTCAAGTATGCTCACTCGGAATTATAATTTTGTTTACTTTAATTTTGATTTATTCATTGTTGTATTTGAAATATATATATTGTACTTCTTGTGCTTTGATAGCTCTATATTTTGCCTAATTATATAGACAATTATTCTCTGATGAAGAAATGTTAATTGAATGATAGAGCAAACCCTTAATAACCTTACATGATAATCCTGTTAAGCCTTATGATAAGCTTTAACTCTTAAACAGCTTTAATTGTTATCTGTGAATAGCTCCTGTGTGCAAACCACCAAATGTGAATGTTCAGTTTCGTGAATTATTTTGTGTAATGCACCAGATGATGTAAGACCTTTAGTAAGCCAAGACATTTAAGGGTTAATTATTGGCAGAAACATTCCTTTATTTATTACTGGATGCATTTTGCAGATTACAAGCCATATCATGAACCACCTGTGGCACTTCCCTCTGGGGGTAGGAGCTCAGCGCCTCTCATCTATGGTAGTGGAAGGAGACGATGTTCCTGGGCTCTCTGGAGATGAACTTTCCTCGGAGGTGTTTCTTTCCCCGCATGTACAGCTCTTTGCACTTAACCAGTCATGTCTGATGTCCCTGGTACAGCTGCCAGCTCTCCATGTCCCTGGTGGTGCTGCTACAGTGGGATTTAAAACTCCAAATTCAGAGGTAAATTGGTTTAAAACAGTTTATTCTTCAAGTTTGTTATTTATATAAACATGTTTATTTTGTTAATCATTCTTATGGTTCCCATTATTGGAAACGGAAAGCTTTTAGGCATGATCCCCCATTAAGCTATCTGCTGTTCCGAGGATTACATTTCTCAGGTCATCTGCAGTATTATTAAATATAACCAGCCTGCAGTCTACCCTCATGCCCATGTTGTTGGAAGATATGTTGTGTTTACAGCTGTCTTTGCTAATATGTTCTATGCTGACTTTCAGGCTCAGGAATTTTGGAGGTCTTACAGGAGTTTTGGTGGCCGGTACAATATTTGGTCAATATTCCTGAGCCGCCTCATTGCTGTGTTGCCTTTGACCATTTCTCTGGGGCCAGTTGTCTTGCCTTTGTCTTAGTACCAGCCATCTCTCCTCCTCCCTGGTTTGTCCCTTGGATTTGCTCTCTGGGGTTAGCTTCAGGGAGCCACAAGGAGCATACATAGAAAACCAGCATTAAATGTAATGAAATGACTCTTTCTGGATGAGCCCCGGTGGCTCCCTGTAATCCTTCCTCCTTACCAGGTTTGTCGTCTGGTGGTTGTGGGTTTTCACATCTACTTCAGAATTGATTTGGGAAGGTTGGGGAAGCTCTAGGGGCCTTTGGTGGTGGTAGTTTGGTACTAGTGAGTTCAGCCTAGTTTTGAGAGTGTTAATTGTTTACATAAAGTCTCCGGAGTTCATATGGCAATTTTTTTTTTTTTTGACCCGGCAGTGGTCTGCATACCTTGCAATGATTTAGGGGCTCAACTTTCCCATGGCCGGGTCCTCGACCAGGCCTCTGTATTGTTCCATTTACTTTGTAGATTCTTTTCTTGGTGGAATGGTGGAATGTTACCTGCTCTGCACTTCTGTGAACGGGGCCAGATTTTGGCTTAGGTCTCTTGTAGGTAAAACAGAATTGCAGTTGATGTGACTTAGTAATTTGGAGAAATCTCAGTGAGATAGCTTCAGGGAGGCACTGGGGGCTCATCCAAAAAGGGAAGTTTCATTTAATTTTTAATGCTTTTTTTTATTTTTTTTTTACTTTACAAGTCTCTCCTTTCTTGTAGGAACTTTATCTGAAGACACACTTCCTCTTGATTTTGGTGATGAACAGCTGGGTTATTGTGCTTCATATTCTGCTTCACTACCCTGGGTTTATTTTATTTGGATGTGAGGACTCATTTGTGTGTGTTTATCTTTAAACTTTGTTCTTAATAACCAAGAATTAGACTAAGATGTTTGAAGGTTTCCCTTATAGTTTTTTAGTCTTGTTCATTCTTTCTACTGTACTCTATACCTTATGTCATGTGGCATCTCTCTGCTAGTATTTCCAAGCATATCGGTTCCACCTCTGATACTTTCTATTAATTCTTGCACCATATCTTGAGGTGATCTTGAGAAGATTTCGGGGCTTTTTAGTGTCCCCACAGCCCGGTCCTCGACCAGGCCTCCACCCCCAGGAAGCAGCCTGTGACAGCTGACTAACACCCAGGTACCTATTTTACTGCTGGGTAACAGGGGCATAGGGTGAAAGAAACTCTGCCTATTGTTTCTCGCCGGCGCCTGGGATCGAACCCGGGACCACAGGCTCACAAGTCCAGTGTGCTGTCTGCTCGGCCGACCGGCTCCCCCGACCATGGCTCAATGTACTAAGGTTCTTAGTACATCGAGCCTTGGAAGTCCTTCATTATGTTTTCCAGGTTTCATGCCTGTGCTGTCAGTATGCAAGTGTTCATGATGATGGCCCTCTTCTCTGGCATGGTTGTATGCCAAGGATGTGGCCACTGTTCTTCCAATTTTTTTTCTCTTTTTAACCACTTGACTCCTATTTACACCACTCTGAATCGCAGATGAGCTTTTGCTGATAGTTGCCTTAGGGAGAAACCAAGTGGGATTGGTCAGAAATCAAGCTTTGAGTGTACAGTATATGAAAATCACTTTCTGACCTGTTCAGTTTATTGCTCCTGTTTCTATTGTTTCTTTCTGGGTCTACTTGCTGGTGAGTTTCTCCCTACCTAGAATTAGTGTGAAATTCTGGACTTGGAGGTTGGGGTGGAGGGACTTTGGTATAGTGTCTTTGGTGCCACCAAAGCTAGGGCAGTGACCTAATAGGTTGCTAGATAGTCAAAGGGCAGCTTATTGGTCTGTGTTACTAATATTAAGTCTTGCCCAGAGAGGCTTTTCAATGTATGTAAAGCACTGTTTTTGTACTGTTCTGTATTGCATGTTTTCCAGGTGAGACTCATCTTGCGGGACTTATCAGGAAAATTTTCTTGGGATGCCTCGCTCCTGTATGCTCCTCCAACTGAGTATATGCCTGAATATCCCACCCATCACCAACAACCACACCAGCAACAGCAGCAGCAGCAACAGCAGATACAGCCTCAAGCTCAGCAACAGTCATCTATCTCCCCAGGGGTAAGTTATTATTTTAACTGCACATACCCTGTATGTCTTACTAATGATAGGGTTGAATTCTCATTCTTTCTGAGCCAAGGCAACTTGGAGGCTTTCCTAGCAAACTCCTGCTCTCTCCAGAGCCAGTGCAACTTTGTCATTAAGTCTCCTGCTGCGTGGTCTTTTCAGCCTATTCCTACTGAGCCATTTGTAGCAAAGGAAATTTTGTGGTACTTGTCTACCAATGATGCTATGTATTGTGAATGATATAACAACTAGACAAATTAACTATATAAATATAAGTACAGTATATAAATATAAGTAATTTATATTCATGTTTCCCATGAAAGTGAGAAGTGGGGTTATAATAATGAATATATGAACGATCAATGATAAGTAGATTATTTTATTGTCTTTTGTTGGGGGATACACACATTCGTGTATTCAGTGTAAACATCTAGCATATGACACACCACCAAACTTCACCTACAATATGCTTTGATATTATATTAATGTATATCAGTTACTTTGTTGAATTAAATGGCTAAATAATTTTTCAGGCTAGCGCAGTTCCGTCACCGTCACTAGTGACCAGTGGGGGTTACACTGGACTAGGGGTACAGTTCAGTTCTGCAGGGTGTGTGGGTCATGTAGATAATCGGGATGATAACATGTCCTCTTCATTTGTTGTAACTTCACCGCCAAGACACACCGTTAGGCATCGTCCTCCAGGTGTCCTTCCAACTCACGAAGACTCTGCAGAGGACCTTGACAACCTTGATGATGTAAGCTTATTATTGTCACAACAGCCAGCCAAACCAGTTTATTCCTGCTGTTATTTTATTCTTTTTACGTAATATAAACTTCACTTTTCTTTTTCGTGAAACATGTTTGTGCTTGTTTCATTACATACATTCTCTGGAGTTTATATGCTGTATTCCTGTATACATTATCGACACTGCAGTTCTCTCCTTAAATAAACCTTGGTCCCAATAATACAGGTGCATTTTCATAAATTACAAAAGGAGAAAGTCAACTTGTTAAAAATAGAATGAGAAATATGAGATAAGGTCTGAAATTTTTGTAATATACTAGTGGTGTTGCAGTGTCCAGGAGAAGATGCATGATATTAGAAAACTGTAGTATGTAATTATATGAAGTGTAGAATATTAAGATATATAATAAAAAAATTAGTAATGATAATGAATTAGAATATTTGTACTAGTAGTCATGAGTAAAGGTAGCACTTATTTCTAGCACAAATATATAAAACAATTTGAGCCTATCCCACATCATCTTAGTGAGAGTGCGATCTTGGAGAAATTTAGTCATGAATAAACGTTTTTGTGACAAACATAAGATGTACTTATTATGCCTCATAGTCTTATTTTAAAAAAGATTAATGTGTTTAGAGCAGCAATTTTTGTTCTCTTGTTTAGTATTATAATACAAGATAATGTAGCTCTGTGTAATGGTGTTTTATAATGTTTTAGTTGTTGAGTTACGTAGGGCACACAAGCCCTGAAGTCTTGGAGCAGTTTGGCCATGCATTAAATGAAGCCATTGGTCCTCCACCAACTCTTCCTATTGAAGCCCAACACGATGCCATCTCAAGCATCCTAAACCAACGTAATGTTGAGAGCGAGCTCTTCAGCAGACACTCTACAGAACCCAAGTGAGTTCAAATGCTGTTCCTTCACTAATCTTATTTTGTAATCTGTTGGGTTTTGCAGAGAACATGTTTTTCTAAATGCTAGGGATAATTTTAGATAGAAATGCAATCACCTTTCTATATAAAACTTTAAACTAACCATATGACATTCATAACCAGGTTTACATTTGAACTTGTTTTTGTAGCATGGTTTGTCCGAGTAGTCACTGCCCAGCTCCAGTGGAGTCGAGATCAGCATTCCAACAAGGTCGACTTCTCTTCGATCAGCTGGGTCTTGGCTCGTGGGAGAAGAGACGGTCTATCTTCACTCTAAAGAAAAATGATAAACTTCTTCGAGAACTAAAGAATTTAGACAACCAGGTTAGTTGGTTTTGCATTCATCACATAGATTAAAGGCTTACTATGTTATCAGTCAGATAACAGGTGCCTAGCAGAAATAGTTAATAATGAACTATATTATGAAATTAATTTCACATTATTTAATCTAGTTGCATGGATTTACATAGGTCATATGGTACTTTATTTCAGAAATGCCGGGAAACTCATAAATTAGCTGTGATCTATGTGGCTGAAGGCCAGGAAGACAAGATGTCCATTCTCAGTAATAGTGGAGGATCTGCAGGCTTTGAGGTGAGAAATTATATATTATTTAGATACAGTGAAATCTCAAATTAATGACCCTTGATTCGGCAAATCTCCAGTTGGAATACACACGTTCCATGCCAGATGTACTCGCCCGATTTGATGAATACGAGTTCGCTGAAGCAGGGAATGTGTGGATTTGCTTTAGGATGTTGAGACCGTGTTCATAGATGGAGGCACTTTTAAAAGAAATAGTTGGCCCTTAGGAAATCCACTGAACATCCAGTATTTAAAACCAAATTCTATGATACTTTTTTTCAGTTGCAGAGGTTTTTGTTTGGTAAAGCATAAGCCCTCTTTCCTTTGAAAATGAACTTTCGAGGCTTAGGTGTGAGAAGTATGCTAAACATCTTGAGGTTATCCTGAGATGATTTCGGGGCTTTTAGTGTCCCCGCGGCCCGGTCCTCGACCAGGCCTCCACCCCCAGGAAGCAGCCCGTGACAGCTGACTAACACCCAGGTACCTATTTACTGCTAGGTAACAGGGGCATAGGGTGAAAGAAACTTGGCCCATTTGTTTCTGCCTCGTGCGGGAATCGAACCCGCGCCGCAGAATTACGAGTCCTGCGCGCTATCCACCAGGCTACGAGGCCCCTACATTATTTAACATTGTTAAATCTTTTACAGACAGGTTCTCTTGGTTGTTGCCTTCATATGACAGGTTGAAATGATAATTTTGCTCTGTGAAATCAGCCCATAGAGTGTAGGAAATATTAGGTATCAATGGTAACACTCTTAATATGGCTCCAATTACATTTTTAATGATTTTTGTAGATGGACGCAACATTATGAAAAATAGTAAGGAGCTTCGGAAAGCCATTGAGCATATTTAAAACCAAATTCTGTGGTTCATTTTCATTTTGCGATTCCCTGGTTTTCGTTCACTAATATGGGTCTTCTTTCCTTTGAGATTTCAAGACTAGGACATAAGAGAAATGCTAGATGTAGTTAAATCTTTTTAGAGACAGGTTCTCTTGGTAGATGTTCTTTATATGACAGGTTGAGATTAAAATTCTGCTCGGTAAAATCAATCCGTAGAACGTCGTTAAATATTAGGGTATGAATGGTGACACTATTAATATGGCTCCAATCATGGTTTAGATGATTTTTGTAGATGGACAAGATGGACATTTTTGTGGATGGACATTGCAAGAAACAGTTGGAGCCTTCAGAAAGCTATTGAGAATATTTAAAACCAAATTCTATAGATTGTTTTTATTCTGAGTTGCCAAGGTTTTTGTTCATTTAAACATGGCCCTGCTAGCTTTTGAAAATGAGTTTTGAGGCTTGAAATGTGAGAAATAAACTAGATGTGGTTAAATTTATTTCCAGATGTTCATTTGGTAGTTGTCTACTATATTATAGGTTTAAATTAAAATTTTGCTTAGCGAAATGAGCCCATAGGGCATGGGAAATGCATCCTGGAGGCATCTTCAGTTGCAGTAAATCCCTCACTATAATGAATTGGGGTTGGTCTCGTATAGTTTGTTGAATCGAGGTTGTATGGTAATTAACTTAAATACAGATATAGTAATTGATTTTATCATTGTCATGTTACTTCTTTCCTGAGCTATTTTTCTCTGGTGCTTTCTAATGCAAGATTGCTAAATGTTCCCTGGAGAGAATCACGATAGTTGGCTCACATCCAAATGGTTTTGTGTTCAATTCCTGAGGAGTAAGAGACATCTGGGCATGTTATCTTATTCCTGATGCATCTGTTCACCTTACAGTAAACAAGTTCCTGGGAGTTTAGTAATTGGGGTGTGTTGCACCCAGCTCTCTCAATATTAAGGTTCACAACACCTTCAATTACATTTTTCTTATAGAGTAAACATTGTTCTCAAACTTTGGATTATGGTGTTACTCATTAAATTATGTACTGACTTTCTTGTGTTCCTTACAGGAGTTTGTAGCAGGTTTGGGCTGGGAGGTGGAGCTAGCAACACACACAGGTTTCCTTGGTGGCCTTCAACGCAATGGATCTACTGGGGAAACAGCTCCTTACTATGCTACCTCCTTAACTGAAGTGGTTTTCCATGTGTCGACGCGCATGCCATCATTTTCGGAACAAAGCATGCTGCAGAAGGTTAGTCTCAACGTTTAATGTTGTGTGTGCATGTGCATTAACATAAGTATCTACAAGGAAAAGTGGGATCTAGCTCTTTGGTCTCCCATTCAAGTACAATCTTGGTATAGTGCCATACTCCTGACAATCTTGTTGTGCAAATGAGAACAACACCTAATGCCATTAATCAATGCCTGATGAAAGATGTATAATGCCATAGAATAAAAAAATAACAGCAGCTACTCAAAGTCACAACCAAGAACAATCACAATAATTATAACCAAATGGGTAGGACACTTGGGGAGAAATGATGCAGTAATTGACAGACAGTATAGTTTTCTATCAGGAAGATCCTATGTAACAAATCTACATAGGTTAGATTTGTAGCCACGAGCATAGCTCTCATCCTGTAACTATACTTAGGTAATTACAAATAACTAACACTAAGTTTAAGGATAATCATACATGAGTAATAATATTTAGACTAGTAATTACATTAACCCTTCATCATCAGGTTTTATTTGGTGACTTAGCTTTCTAGGCACTAACTGGTGTTATGTGACAACTCTAGATTCTGGTTCTGTGGGTTTTATAAGCCTCCAAAAGTCATTAGTAGCTAGCAGCTCTAATAAACAAATTCCTTTAACTAAAGAATCACCGAGGGTTCTGCATAGAAAGTGGCATTTCATTACAATCTATGCCCTAATATTTGGTAATACATATGCTGCATTCTTGATCAATCAAATTTCTTTCTCTCAACATGTATTTGTTAAAGAAAACTGGTTGCAGTCTCTTAGTGTGGTTATCAGAACCAAACATTTGCAGATTTATAATTATATAATAAATGCCTATTACCTGAATATGTAAGGGCCAGTTGCTGGATATTTGTTGAAAATATTGTGCATTTGACCATCTTTCATATTCTGTACATATTATGGCATATGATATACACTATAAATAAAGTTGTCATTGAATTTACTTTGTTATTCTGCAAGTACCTAAGACACTATATTATGTACTGTGTACTAACAGGTAAGAATTTTTACAGACTCGGCACTTGGGCAATGATGAAGTTCACATTGTGTGGTCCGAGCATACACGGGACTATCGGAGAGGCATCATCCCAACGGAATTCTGTGATGTACTTATTGTTATCTACCCACTGCCTAACATGCTGTACAGAATACAGATTTCTACTAAACCTGATGTAAGTAAGGAATTATCTAGCATTTTGGCAATTCACTCTGGGACAAACCTTGTTCTTCAGTTAATATTATTATTTCCAGTCCATGAATATGAATTCAGACCATCAATTTTTAGGCTCATGCTGCTGTACAGCTGATAAAACATAACAGGCACATTATTTTGGAGTTAGCAAAAGGAGGTAATTACTTTGAACTTTGAAATGTGATGTATATGTGGATCAAAAAGATAAGCCATTGTCCTCAGTAAATCAGACAATTGTCTTGTACTGAGATGAAGTTGCAGATCTTGGAAGTGAGCTTTTAAGTTAATGTACTCTGGCAGTAAGTCAACTAGGGTTCTTTTAAAGAAATGAATTGAAAATGAATGTTTCTGAACTGGAATATATGGTCATATTTCCAACATTCCAGAAGTTTCTTTTTTTTAATAACAATGCAGTCACTAGGAGTTATGATAACATTCCTATTCCAGAGTTATATTATAATTTTCCATATTTTAGTGCAGAACAGATATTTTGTCGACTCGTGAATATTTAATTAAAATTTTCAGGTTTCGTTCTTTGGACCTTTATTTGATGGTGCGATTGTGGGTCACAAAGTCCTGCCAGGCCTGGTGCGCAGTACAGCTGTTAATGCTTCAAGAGCAAAACGTAGTCGCCTGGCCCTGTATCAGAACTTGTAAGCCCACTAATGGTTTTGTATGTTGAGTCCTGGTTAGAACAAACTGGATACTTTTTCTGATAAAAATGCAATTAAAAGCTAATAAAAGGGAGAGAGAGAGAGAGGGGGGCTTATTTTTAATTGAATGTGTAGTACATAAACCACTGATTGGGACAGATTAGTTAAGACTGACCATTGGGACAGTCGAGTTTTAGCTTTCTAGAGAATGCTGCCGAGCCGGCAATGACCTGTTAGATACCACACATGAGCTCTTAGTAAATTTAAATTGGCATCATATACCAACATGAAGTTGCTCCTTGTGTCTTATTTTGTAATACCTGTACAGTAGTTTACACATCTTTGCATCAATAAAGTCATTTGTAGATGTTTAAATGACATTTGGTTGAGGTAACATCAACCCACAGAGTGAATGAAATGTTCTAAATAAATATCACTTTCCTTCACCTTGTTTAATGGTGATAAGTTACAGGTACTTTGGTATGGTGGAATTGAGGAACTTAAATGAAATACAGAGTACAGGGGACAATCAGACTTATTCATAGAAGAAAAGCAACATGTGAAAGATCTGGTAATTATGATGTCAGATGACCTAACATTTAGTGAACATTACTGAGCAAATATAGCAACAGCCAGGAAAATTGGGATGGATTGGATGGATTATGAGAACATCCAAATCCAGGGATCCCACAGCAATGCTAATACTATTTAAGTCACTGGTGCTGTCCTTTCTTGAGTACTGCTCAGTACTCACTTTCCCTTTCTGAGCAGGAAAAATTTCTGAAATACTAGTATAGGGAATACAGGAACCTATACAGCATGCATAGACACGATAAAACACCTAAATTATTGAGACCGTCAAGGCTCTCACATTATTCTCTAAGGAATGGAGACTAGAGAGGTATCAAATAATATATACATGTAAAACACTGGAAGGCCAGGTCCCTAATTTTCACAGTAGAATAACAACATACCAGAGCGAAAGATTCAGAAGGAAATGCAGTACAGAACCACTGAGGAGTAGAGATGCCATAGGCACAATCAGAGAGCACTGTCAAAACATCAGAGGTCTATGGCTGTTCAATACAGTCCCAGCAAGCATTATAAATACTGTATTGTCAGAACAAAGGTGGATGTCTACAAGAAGCATTTAGATGAGTTCTTGCAAGAAGTACCTGACTAACCAGGTTGATATGTGGGCTTGTGGGCCGCTCCAAGAAACAGCCTGTTGGACAAGTTTATCACAAGTCAATAACTTGTGACAGCTTGATCCAATAAGTTATCACAACTTGTTGGACCAAGAGGGTTCTTTGGGAGTAGAAAAACTCCCGGAACCCTCACCAGATTCTGCAGGTTCCAGGTTCACTCATACCAATTCCAAGTGCTATATTAGTTGCACTGGCTTACTGCTTTCTTCTGCATTTACCTAGAAGTTTAGATGAGCCAAAAAAAATCTGAAACTATTGGCTTTACTTTCATATGAAATGAGTACAATTTTCAAATCTTTAATTTAGAGTTTTCAGGAGTCATCCAGTTCACTGAAGGATAACAGTGAATATCTCTTAAGGATTTTGCTTATTGAGTGTTAGTGTTAAGGAGTACAGTATATATATATATACTGAAAAAATTCAGAAGTCATACACAATGATAAATGCTTCAGTTTATAAAAGACATAACAGATGTACCTTGTTCCTTTGTCAGTTATGAAGAGAGATCGCGGGCTCTAGACACTATCATAGAACAGTACAGCGAAGCCACAACCTTTGAAGCCTTTATCTCCTCAGTGTACTGTCCCGTCTTCCCTACATCCTTTACTTCGGGACCAACTCGCGCTTCAGGTATGTTACCTTTACAAACACACAAGCTCATCTTGCTTTCTCATTCATACTTTTAATAAATTTCCACTCAACTCTTTGTGACCTTTTATCATACATAATTTATTAAATGAAATATCACGCATTTATTCACTAACACACTATACCTATACCATGTAGTACATAAGGTATTTACGAACATTCTTTAGTATAAAAGGACTGTCATTGATTCATTCCTGTTCCTTCAATATATCAGAATATTGTCCTAATATTTAATATGTTAAAATGCATGAGGAAGCTTGATAGTCCAGATGACCATTATCCAGAAAATATTTTGCCAAATAGAGTTTGGCACTGAACATATTTTATTTATGGAATTTTGGTGTCTGGGTGATTAAGCCCTTCTCAGTTGACTGGCCCAACTTAGCATATGAATATCAGAGTAAAAGATTCCCAGTGATGACTTTAATTACATATATAGCAGTAGATATTATTTGAAAGTAGGATTTTTATCGTTGGTTTTTATTTAGAATATGCCAAGTTTCACTTGGTGAAGGTACCAGAAGTGCTGTTCTGATAGTTGATATTACATCATAACACCTCACATATTTAGTGTATCTGGTTTCAACCAAATTTCTAAGAAAATCTTGCTCTGGCTAGATTTTCTACTTACCCAGGGCTAGCAGTGCCCTGGGTAGAGCAGAATCTGTCTTAAGGGCCAACTGAGAGGCCAGCTCAGAAAGTTGGTCATATTACAGTCGTTATTATTAGGTACAATTTCTGTATATTTTATAATACCACTAATTATGCAGTGTTGATCCTTATATTTGATACCTGTTTAGTGAAATTTCGGATACAAATTTAATTTCATGAGTAAAAATTATGCAGTGAAATAGGAAGCTCACCCCTCTCATTGCTGGTCTAATTTTTTTGTCACTGCTGGTGCTGCCTATCAATTATTAGTTAGTTTTTGTTTATGATATCTCACATTGCAGTATCACATTATCACCTAGGCAATGTTGGAGTTAGATTTATATATAAATATATATCATCCACCTTTTCAGATTTAATATAAACATTCAAAATACTTTCACATTAGATTTGTGTCACTTGGGGGTCTTGAGCTAGTTTGAACCATTTGTCAAATTTCATCCACCATTACGAGTAATGGTAGCTCATATTTCAACATTACCATTGTATTTTATTTAAGCTTAATTGATATTGATTGTCATTGTACTATTTGTGGAAATTTGTTGTGTTAGTTATTTGTCTTTTGTAGACAAATGTGTATCATGATGATAGTGAATTATGAGTGGTGGGAGAGGTTGATAATGGTAGGGTTTGCGGTGATGGTGAATGTAATGGTGAAGTGTGTGAATGTAGTGATGAATGTATTGGTGGTGAATGTATTATGATGTGTATATGTGATGGTGGGTAATGTGTTGGTGGGTTTTGTGGTGGTGGGGAATGTATTATGATGTGTGAATGTTCTGATGAATGTGGTGGTGGTGAATGTAATGATGATGAGTGTGGATGTGGTTAATATAATGAAGATGAAGTGGATGTGGTGCTTGTGAATATAATGATGATAAATGTAGATATAGTTGTCATGAATGTATTGGAGATGAATATGGAAGTAATGGTGACTGCAGGAGTAACTAGTGATGATAGCAGAAGGCAGAAGAGGTTGTGGTATTGATGATGATAAGGATAATGATGGTGATTATGGGAGGTGGTCGCGGTGGAAAGGTTTGGTGCTGATGGATCGTCGTTTTCATCACTATTTATGATGGTTTCTGGTTAAGTGATATTGGACCTAGTTGCAATACTCTTGTGTCTTCATTGCATTATCGCGATTAGCAATGTCCGGCAAGTCATGTGACAGCTTAGTATATATATTCGTATTACACAAGTGTTTTCACAAATAATAAAAGCAGAATTGGTAACTCGTCTAATTAGATTAGACCTATATTTTCTTCATAGGTAAGTATTTTCATCACTAAGTTGGAGTAAACATTATAGTGGTGGCAGTAAACATTAGGCCCCATTCTGTAAAGCTTTTGTCAGTATTTTATTGCTAATTTGTCATCGTGAGTAAATGGAGGGGAAAATATTTGAAATATATTTATCTCATGCACCTTCAGGAATGAAATTTTTCTTTCTTGTTCACTTTCAGGAATGAACACACCTTTTGTTGTTCATCTTCAGGAATGAAAATATATTTTTCTTGTTTACCTTCAGGAATTTGCATTATTTTGTTTTCAGCATTTGTTCTGTATTTGATCACTACCCTTTAAAGGGGCTAGCCAGCTGAATGTTCATTATAGCCTATCTCCTTCCCTCCACTCCTCAGTAATAATGCATAGCTAGACTATGTGTTTTGGTCCTCTGTATTGCCATTGATATCTTCCCAGAGCACTTTTGAATTTTTTAATATTTAATGCAGTGACTTTTGTTTGGCTAAGCACCATTAGTGGCAGTTTCAGAATGTACATCTTTTTATGGAATTATGCTGATACAGCATATAATGTATTTTACATTCTTGTTTGAATGTGTTGGTGAGAATGGAATGGAATGGCTTATTTTAGGATATTTTACAAATGTATTTTTTCTTTACTTAAAGTACAATTGATTTAGTTTTCTTCTTAATATCACAGTCTATTTATGCACTGCCATTCGATTGGTAAGACTGGACATAATCCAGCATTATTGAATATAATTCCGAAGTCTCTCTTTCATGTGGCTGTATTATGTTGCTCTGCAAATATCCCACACTTTGCATCTTGGTGGTACTTGCTACATTGCCCTAAGCTTGCTGTGCCCCATTTTGTTGCAACAGGAAGCATGCTGTCCTACAGCCCCAGTGAAGAAGACTAGCGTAAATCACGCCGCGTATCATACTTGCAACGGGAGGTTGGTTATTGCTGGCTGGGAGCTTTTGTAGCATGCAGGCTTGGTGCATTTTCTAGCTATAGTGTTGTCGGTCTGCAGCTTGTAGTCAAAACATTGCCCAAGATAACGAGGAATTATTATTTTTAATAACTAGTTCGGATGTTGTTGGGTGTTTTTGTTTAGCATGTTATCTCGGTGCATTATTACCAGTTGATGTAACTCTTCATTATTGATATCTAGTTCAGTTATTATTAGTGTAGATATTTTGTTAACTAAAATGATCATCAGTTTTATAGTTTGTGTCTTGTGGGTTGTGTGCAGTTTTGATATGGTGTGCAAGTTTTAGTTACTGTATTCCTGTATACAGTATTTTCCAATAACATTGGTAGTTTAAGACATATTGATGTAGAATCATTGACAGAGTTGTCAACTTTTGACCTGTGAATATGTGGGGAAAATGGCTTCCTGTTGTCACACTTGCCATTTTCTTTCATTTGAAATACTTTGGTAACCTCATAGGGATCTCCAGTTTCCTGCCGATATTTTGTATGGTTTGCAGGGTAAAATATATTTTACATTTTATTAATTTTTAAACCATTGTCTTTAATATGAGAAACATTTATTATGGTGACTTTTGAGCTGCACATGTATAGCCACATGTCACAAGCAGTGACAGTGGCTATAAATCACATCATTATTAATTGTCATACAAGCTCTCATAATGGAGTTTACAACGCTAGAGCTGTTTTGAGAGATACCGGTATATATATATATTTGTTATTAAAAAAATAATGGTTTGCAGTACTGTACTGTAATACATTATCTCATAAATGGTTTTGCATGCTTTTTATATTAAGATCATTTAATTTCAGTGTCTAAGTGGAGTATTGTGTATCTTTCAGTGTGCTTGGGATTATTCTCACCCTTTTCATCTCTCTCTTGTCTCTTATTTGTTCCGGTTATTGTATGGCAGTTTGTAAACTTTTCTACCTTATTTATTTACCAATTTTCTCTCTTTTCATGGTTTGTCTTCTGTGTCGGAGGTGAACATTGTCATTTCTCACTTGCCGTTTGTTGTTTAACCTTTTTATTCTGCAAAGGTTACACGAGGCGGTATCTGTATATGCTCAGAACAATTTTATTCAAAAGAAGGTTATGTCACCATTTTCACAAATTGGGATTATGTTGGCTCTTTTCCAAGTATCTGCATGGTTTCCTGTTTGCAAAAATCCCTGTGAAATAATGTATATTTGGTTGCTAAGCTCATAAGCACACATTCTACCTGAATCTATGAGAAATTTGTTTACAATTGGTGCCTGCTTTAAGTCTCCAAAGTCCTTAGTATATCTGTTGCTGTGAAAGGTGGGGTTTACAAATGTGTGGGGGTGAGGGAAAAGGGGTGGTGGAGGGGCTGAGGGGGACTACTGCTTGGAGGACAAAAGGGAACTTGAGGGGCTGAGAAGTGAGGTCTGGATAGGGCTGCTGAGAGTCAAGCTGAAGAGCAAGGTGGGGCTGTGGGACAAGGGGGGGGGGAAGCTGATTGTTAGTGGGGTAGTGGTGGCAAAGGGAGGCTGATAAGGAGGGGTGGACTTAAGGGGTGAGAAGTGAGGGGCTGGGGGTGAGAAGCTGGGAGGATGGAAGGAACTGAGATGTAGTGATAGGCAGAGGTGTGTAGTTTCACTATTTTGTAATTAAAAGTGTAATTACACTTAGGTACATAATTACCTAAGTGTAGTTACGGGATGAGAGCTACGCTCGTTGTGTCTCATCTTCCCAATACTGTCAAATAACGCTTTGAAAGTACTGATGGTTTTGCCCACTTACTCTGTTCACAACTTGTGAGACCAAATTTGGAATATGCAGCAGTTGTATGGTGCCTACATCTCAAGAAACACATCAATAAATTGGAGAAGATGCAAAGACATGTTGCAAAATGGCTTGTCGAACTGAAAGACCAGCTACGAGGAGAGGCTAGAAGTGTTAAATATGTCAAAACTAGATAGAAAGAAGACAGTCAATATGATCACTACAAACAACAAAATTAAATAAGAGGAATGACTGAAACCTATAACTTCAATAACAAGAGGTCATTGATTTAAGCTAAGAAAACAAAGATGCTGAAAAAGTGCTCAAAAGTTCTCTTTTTGCAAACAGAGTGGTAGGGAATTGGAACAAGTTAAACTAGAAAGTGCTGGATGCCAAAACCATCAGTAGTATCAATGCGTTATATGACAGAGTACTGGGAAGATGGGGAAACTATGAGTGTAGCTCTCATCCTGTAACCACACTTAGGTAATTACACTTGACTTGATTTTACCATTAGGTGAGAAACAATGGGCAGAGTTTCTTTCACCCTATGCCCCTGTTACCTAGCAGTAAAATAGGTACCTGGGTGTTAGTCAGCTGTCACAGGCTGCTTCCTGGGGGTGGAGGCCTGGTCGAAGACCGGGCCGCGGGGACACTAAAAGCCCCGAAATCATCTTAAGATAACCTCAAGATAGGTTGTCATATATCCCATCCACTTTACCCCCTCTCAACCATACCAACCCCACACAAATATCTCTGTCTCACTTTACTCCATCTCTCCCTTCCCCCCCCCCCCCACTCCCTTCAACTCTTACTCTCTACCTCTCATTACATCTCAGTTCCCTCCCTTACCCCCAGCTCCTCACCTTCACTCAGAACACCACCTCAGCAGCCCACCTCAGCCTCTCACTTCTTCTCAGCCCCTAAATCCACCCTTACTCATCAGTCCACTTTGTCTTCCCCTACTTTCTCTACTATAATGATCTACCAGATCATTTATATAGATAATGAACATTATTGGTGCTAGAACTGACCCTTGTGGTAATAATTATCAATTTTTTTTATCAGAATTTTGTTCATCCATATCAGTAGTCTGCCTGTCACCCCTCCTATATGTTCTAGTTTTTAGTGTGGGATTCTGCTTACTTTTTGAGGTCAAGTAGATGCAGTCAGAGTATATGTGTGTGTGTGTGTGTGCATGCATTTATTTTATTCTTTATTCATTCTTTCAATGAATTAGTACAGTACTCATCATATTTGCTTTTGAAGCTGCACACATCCAGCTGCATTTGTAGGAATCAAGCTCCTGTTCCTGGGTCCTACCTGATTTCTTTGGATATATGGTATATGATTTTCTGCCCACTTGTGCTTTTGTCGTATCTGCTTTGAAAGTTGGGGGTGAGTATGTGTTGTCTAAACTAAGAATGTAATTATTGCGAGAAAGGGTGTCTCCATTATATTTTCTCCACAGCAGTGCTTCTGTGGTAACCAAGGCAAGTGGTCTACTGCATTCTAGAAAACTGATAAACACAGACATTTCCATGCACATAAACAGTGTCATTTATTTATTCAAACACATATAATTGAATATACAGTACTGTGTAATTAAATATCGCTGAAAATACTTGTCTGTACAGTATTGTTTTTGCCACAAAGAAAGATATGATAACTTCCCTTAATGGGGCAGCATTTCGGTTATCAGACTTTTTCTTATACAAAGTGGTTTTATATTCCAGGGACATCATTCTCCTCCCGGGTGTTTGATTCTAATTTAGGTGGTTTTGGTGGTGGCACAGGTGTCTCGGGTTTGGCTGCGGCTCTTCTAGATGGGCCCCAGCTTCCCCCTGGTCCTCCTCAGCGTCCTCCTCTCACTCGCCCAACTAGCTATTCTACGGGAGAGCAACATCATCTCCGAGAAAAAGCACGAAGTGAGTTTGAAACCATGTTAGGAGCCCCTCAATATGTAATGTATTATTTCTGTTCCTTGAGTCTTTTACGAGTTGTAAGTTTATTTTGGCATTAATACCAGATGTTTTCTAGGTTACTAGAAACACTCGTTCGGTAGATGACTAACTTAAATAGTTCATGCTAGACATTGGGAGTAAATATTTTAAATAGGTTAACTCTTACTCTATAGTTTTATTTCAGGTGCAACACTTATGTGCACACAAACATAAGGCTTTGAGTGTAGACTAAAAGTACCTTATAGAGCATGCAGGTTGTTTGTTTCCTTAGGAGAGTAGGACACTGTCTTAAGAACATGACCACAGCAGCAGTCAAGTCATTTTACCAATTGCTCATTTGCACAGCTGGGATCTTTATAAATTCTCCTACCAAGCCCTTGTTAGGAAAACAAAGGCTTCCAGGCTCTATCCAGCCTGAAATAACCTCCAGGAGGTTCATTCATCTACAGTATAATCAAAAACCTTCTCTAAGTGATGCCTAGCTTCCGAGAGATCATCAAGGTCTCTTCTAATTGCCCTGCCTGCCTCACCACTACTCAAAATGCCACTAGCACTTACTTTGTTAACAGAATAGCTTTGAGCAGCCTACCTCAATCTACAGGGGTTTCACCCCTGTAGACTGCATGAGCAGACTCAAACAAGAGATAATGTGAAGATATAATCACAGGTGCAGTATACAAAAGCAGGATGCAAGCAAGAAGGACTGAGGCACCAGCAGAAGAAGCACATTACACCCACACAGCCAGAATGGCCGTCCAACTCCCTCGACTCTGTAACAAATCTTCGGTAAACTCCATCTCTCACAGATTCCAACCTCTGACCACCGACAGGAAAATAGTCCAGGGAAGGAAAATGCACAGAAGAATGCCCAACCTAAAAGCAGAGAGCATAAGCACCTGAAGCATGCACAGTCCTGCTAACAGCAAGCAAAGACCTTTGACCAAAAATTGCAAAGCCAACTAACAAACATTGGAAGGGCCCTACCTTGGAGAACAACCTGGCAAAATATACCCAGAAAGTGAAGGAAAGGACCATCATCACGTATGTGATGATGGTTCTTCGCTCCCTCTACACACCAAGTGAACAAGAGCTCGAACATATCTCTAACCCCCCCGGTTCCAATAATGTTTCATACATACACATTTCCCAATACTGTAGTTCATTTATATGTCTTATAAAGTTCCAGGCCGTTTTTGTACATTTAACACAGTTGTTTCTCTATATTTTCTCGGACTGAATATCCTTTTTTTTAAACATGTATTTACTCTGTTTACACTGTTTTGGGGGATGACATAATAGTACCTGCTATGATAATACCCTGCACATGTGCAGAGCTGCCTATTGTACTGGCAGGAATTTCAACTTTAAGAGTTACAGACTGTTTTACAACATTTAACACTGCTATTTCTCCCTTCACAAGGGTGCTCTTACATCAGGATATGTATTTAGAATACCAACAATTTCCTCTTCGTTATCTATTAGATGACCTTACTATTTGGACCAGTTCTCTCCCTCTCTCGATTCAATATATCCGGTATCTGGAAGAGCCTTTTGGGATTTAACTATTTTTTCCCTACCCATCCTCACTTCATAATATCTGTTTTTCTTGTATTTATTTTCTTTGTCTTTATAGTTTGCCGAATGAATTTTGAAGATTACTTTTGCTATTCTTTATTTGCCGATGCCTTTCTTTTTTTCAGTGTGAGATTTTTATCATATGTCCATTCATTTTGGTCATTTTTGTTCGACCGAAGTGAATTAATATGAATATCACATTTGTGAGCGATTAGAAGACTGTCTTTAAACTTATTGTAAATACTCATCAGCATTATAATCCCTCTGGAGACTCTTCACCTCTTGTTTACCATCTACCTTCTATGCTTATGCTTATGAAAGTCTGGAACCCAGACAGAGTGTTCTCACGTACATTTTATCTGTGTTAAGTAGAACGTGAATTACTTGCGGTTACATTTCCCTAGTTCACTCCCTGTTCATGTTCCAAGCGTCTCTGTGGTAACTAACACTTAAGTCTAATTCACAGTTTGTCCTAGTAGGTTCTGTTTACTTTTCCTGGTTGACTTCCCTGCTGTTTTCTAGTTTGTTAAGTGGATGTTTTTTCATTAGTTTTTCATGTTTTTTTTTCATGTGTCCTCAAAAATAATCTTGAGAAACTTAAAACATTGAGATAGAGTATTTCTTTACAGTTTACATGTTGTTTTAACATTTAGCAGGCATCACTGTCTCATCTGCTTTTTGCATCACTGAATGTACAGCTCTTCATGAAGTTAAGTGCACTTGTTAGTAAAACTATTGTATTCAACTTTTCCTGCTTAATCTGTAGTTTAGACCTTGTGCATTTTTAGTAGAAAGGTTTATTGAATAATGAGAGTATATAAATTTGCTTGACTGTTGGTAATGGGGTACATTGATCATATGAGATACATATATAATCAACCCCATCCTCCTATTTTTATAGTACTTTTTGTAACTGTGGTCAATCTTACAAATATGTATTAATGGAGTTCCAGTAAGCCATTTTCTTGGGGGAGCCCCGTCGGCTCCCCAGATCTATCCAGGCTGAATGGATATGTATATCTTTCTGGCATCAGTGAATGCATGGAGTTCTTGCCTACCAGGGATCACGAACCAGAACCTGGCCCCCTCTAGAGAGGCACGAGGAAGGAAGGAAGGAATTATCAAGGGAAAGTGCCAAGCCATTATAGCTATATAGCACTTGGAAGGGGTCAGGATAAGGATCTGGGATGAGACGGGGGGATGGAATGATGTCCAACCACTTGGACAGTCGGGGATTATGTGGGGGTTGCGCAGACAGCGGTGCGATGACACGATGACGTCATGCCAGTTTGCTACTTTTTGTTTGGGGAGTTCTGTCCACTTGTTCGGCCTTCGGTCGCAATAGTTTTACCAGAATAGGGGGTTTGTTTTGGGATGCCTACCTTTCTGGGTGCCTGTCCCAGTCGATGGCAGACATAGAATGCTTCCAACCACAGGGGGGGTGTGTCTATAGGTCATTGCTCCTCATGCCTCTCTAGAGGGGGCCAGGTTCTGGCTCGTGGTCCCAAGTAGGCAAGAACTCCATGCATTGACTGATGCCAAAAAGATATACATATCCATTCAGCCTGGATAGCTCCGGAGAGCCTCTGGGACTTGCCCAGAAAATGGCGTTTCATTACATTCAACACTGGGTTTTTTATTTTTATTTTTTTTTTGGTAGAATCCAGAGAACATAAAGCTAAAAACCAAACTTAGATATTCCTAGGCCTAGTTTAATGCACAACTTATTAAATTAGAACTCAGATAACGTGTATTAGGCCTAGGATGGTTAGGTTAGGTTTTATTAGCAACATAAATGTAACACTTTTTCGATTTGTTAAAATTCTATATATTATAAATCCTTTTATATTTCAGAAGTAGCTTATTCCCTTAATTTATGGCTTTGTCTTCACAAAATAAGTTAATTTCTTCCTCATTTTCAAATATCTGATACATTCTAGGTTTTATCTCATTAGTAATCTGAATGTTTTCAGGGCATCTTTCTATTATTATTTATTGCAATTTTGTACTGGATATTTGTAATTTTTTTTATCTTATTTGTTTCCTCTAATTTTTCTTGCCAGTATTAACACTTAAAACAACATAGTATGTTCTTATTGATAAGTTTAGATTTTCTATTAAACGTTAAGGGATGAACCTAATGATGCAAATTGTTTTAGAGTGGCAAACATAACAGTTTATGTATAATACCACATGTCAGATTGCATTCTTATTCTGATTTGTAAAATATGTAAATACAGTTATGGTTACTAATACCATAGACACGCATACTTAGATGTAGATATCAATTGTACTACTGTTAATTGCACACAGGAGTTCGGCAAATGCTTGGAAGCATTCGTCGCAACTCTGCATATAGCAAGAGCTTCCCCGTCCCTCAAGGGAACAACAATCACAGCCACCAGTGCTGCGAGTCTTGTCAGACAACAGATAGGTGTGTTGTGTGGTGTGTGTACGCGTGGGTGTGTGTGTGTGTGTGTGTGTGTGCTCTGCAGTGTGTGGGAACCTGCTTAACAATCTATGTGCATGTAGACATGCTGGGAGCAAGCTAACCGCCACTTAACCTTGCATTTCTGCACGTTGTCCATGGTATAATAAATTAGAGCTTGTCCAGAGAATGTAACATTTCTGGGCTTAAAAGTACAGTACCCTAACATCAATAGTTGAGTTTTAGTGATCCCCTTTTTAATTCTAAATTAATTCAGTGACCTTTAATATTTGAATAAATTCTAAGGTGATAAATTTTTTTTTATATATTTTTAATTAACACAAGAAGCTTGTTGACATCCCTCATTTTTTCAACTTTAATTATTTTCTTGCCTCGATTACTCTAGTATTTATTAATAACATTCTGAGGAGGAGGGTTAATCTCTTCCATTTATAATGTGAAACTCCAACAGTTGGGCCAGGAAGCTAACAAAGTATGGCTTTCTGGAGGGGCTGAATGGTTCTGGAGGGGCTGAATGGTTCTGGAGGGGCTGAATGGTTGCTCCCTGTTGCTAGCCACACTCAGATAGCTTCACACATCAGCCCAAGGAATCCTTAACCCTTTCACATTTTTGTCCCCTTACCATTTTTGGGTGCTACCAGCGTCTTGTGCCAAGCATAAATCGTCGAGTGATATTTTGCTTCCAATGCATACTGTGAAGTTACTATGCATGGTAAAGTATTCAATTTAGTATCTTTTTGAAGCTAATGAGTTGTAGTTTATGATGGTATTTTAAAAAATGCAGAGAAAACTAATTAAAATAACAAAAAGACAAGATAAATTTAGCTGACATAACGCTGAAAATGGCTTGTATATACAACACACCACTGACACCCTTCACAGCTGCATTTCTTCTTTGTGCTGTGTTCAGTGTCAGTTCTTCTGGCGAGCATCCCTAGTG